AAATTTGCAACAATCTCACAGCTCCATGGAGAAATTTGACCACGCCCCCTGCTACGCCCACCACCTAAGCCCCTTTTTGATCCAGAAAAAACCCTGTACACACAAACACACAGCAATTAAAGCAGACTGGGACCATAAAAGACAAACAAACAAACAGGAATGTGTTCCAGTAGCCAGTATGGGACACACGGCGACACGTACACTGTCAAAACACACCAGACAAAGGTAATGACACAGTCAGGTGGCCAGCCACAGCCAATAGGAAAGAGGGCTTGGCTGAGAGCAGTGGTTTGTGGGTAACCCCAGGCTGTGGGTTTCTGCTGCAGGACTCAATTTAACCCACTTCATTGTGTCTGCTTTTAGTTTACTAATCTAATGTGTCACTCATGCAGAATGAAGGCAATGATAGCCTTAGTGATTTTGAAAGCTCCTGGCTAGCTTATGTAAGTCTTGTTATGTCGCCTCCTGTCCTGGACACCACCCACTTTAAGTGGTCAATTACTTTATCTCTAAAGAGTCCCTCTAAAATACTTTATATATCAGCAATCAGTTAATTCAAGGGAGAAAAATAGAAAAGTCACAGTTGATTTCAAGACGGTCGCCAAAACTTGTACGATAAGTCAGGAGTGACAGAGCAAGAGAGGGACAGGCGCTATAGAGGGAGGGAGGTGGGGGGAGGAGAGAGAGAGAGAGAGAAAAAAAAAAAGAAGGGACTCCAAATGTAAAATGAGTGATGGAATTTCCTTCTCTTTGAAGTGCCATCGTCCCGGTAACAAAGAGCTTATTGAAAGACCAGAGAGAGAGAGACAGATCAGTCAGGGGGGAGGAGAAAAAAGAGAGGAGGAGGAAAGGGGAGAGAAGAGAGGAGGGGGAGGTTGTGAAACACAAGGAAATATTTTACCTGATCTGAGAAGTAAGAAACTCCTGGAGTGTCTGTCCAGACAGACTCACATAAACAACTCAGGAATGATGACAAGGTGCGCACACACACACACCACACTCCAGGCTTACCTGATAGCGTTCCACACATTAAACCCGTCCAGCGGCTTCGTCCCATTGGTCGATCCCCCGGCCAGGCCCATCAGTGTCGGCAGCCAATCAGAGATGTGTATGAGTTGGCGGCTGACGGTCCCAGGTTGTTTCAGCAGCGGGCTGGTCACAAAGCCAACGCCCCTAACCCCACCCTCCCACAGTGACCACTTCCTGCCTCTCAGAGGCCAGTTAGAACCCCCTGTCAGAGTCTGACCACCGTTATCTAGAGAGAGAGAGAAAGAGAAAGGCAGAGAGAGAGGGACGTAATTTTACTGAAAAGTGTATTTTGGTGTATACGTAAATGCATTTTATATAAAAGTTTGATTTGATTCTGATACTGATTCCATATTACTGATAGAGGGTAAAAAAGAATCCCTCTCCACTGAGTAGAGCCAGGCAGCCATTTCATTACTGATGACACGTGAGGGGAACAGATTATGGGTATGTCATTGTCAAGTAATTGGAGAGACAAACCAAAGACACCTTCCAACTCCTCCTCATAAAAACACTGTTTGTTCTTTCCCTTTCCACTGACTGATGCACAAATGATACATCAATTCAAATGATACATTAAATTCAACATGAGTACAGCATACTTGGTAAGCAATACTTACCACCATGATCTATGAGTTCTGAGGGGATTCATATATAGAGGCTTAACAGTGATACCAAGTGGATTCATCCCATTAACAACACAGTGGTTAGACCTCTGAAGCACAACGCTCATAGAGGAACTCCCTCAGAGGCAGAGAGACAGGAGGGAGGTGGAGATGAAACATGGCCACCGTTTCTTAGATGGAAGAACTTCCTGGAAGTGGGTTGTTCGACCAATGGCCATGGCTCTTGGGGTTAGGGTTAATGGAATTGGTCCATTCACAAAAGGTTGGTTGATGACTAAGTTCTAGCTTTACAGATACAGAAAAAGTATTTTCATTTGTTTATGCTTCTCAGACAGACAGACAGTCATCCTCCCTATAGGCTAGTCCAGTATAAACACAACAGACCAGTCAGAGAGGAGAGGAGGGGGAGGAAAGGAGAGCAGTGCCGTGTGAGTTCAGGAAGTAGTCTCTGCAGCTTCCAGGCTGTTCTGGAAAGAGAGCTCCTCTCCTCACTAATTCATTTTCAAACTGTTTCTGCTCCTTCTCTATGCCAGCTCTCTCCCTCTTTCATTCTCGCTCCCCAGCTCTTACTCACCCTCTCCCACTCTTTCTCTCTCTCTCTCTCTCTCTCTCTTTCCCGTTCTCTCTCACACACACTCTCGCTCCTATCCTTTCTCTCTCCCCAGCCTCTCTCTCTCTTACAGTAAGACCCCAGGGCGCCAGTCAGCTAACAGAGAGCTTCATCGCTAAGGAATCTCTGAGTGCTCCTCCAAACGTTTCTAAACTGTGTGCTTATGTTTGAACAGGGCTGGGCTGAGACATTCTGTATGGGCCGTGAGTTAGCTCACACACATGACTCAGTAAGCAGTAAGCCTTGATGGGGCATGAAATCATAATGATTCATTCACAGTATATTCTAGACCAGAGAGCAGCACCATGAATATAAGGTTTTATCACCTTGACTCACTCACAAACTTCATTCTTTATATGTAAAAGCTTTTGGGGGAAAGACAGAAGACAGTCACAATCCATGCCCAACAAGCAGAGTTTAATGGTAAGGGTTAAGATGCGAACCAGTGAAGCAGGCCACATACCTGAGCCCACCACAGGCACAAACCACTCCACTCTACTCTCACAGCATTGTTCCTAACTTCTAATTAGCCTGTAAAACCATGCTACTCCTAAAAATAAATTTATTCCCCTGCACCTTCAAAGCTGCATCTACCTAGAAGCTTCAGATGCAAACCATTAACAGGCACAGATGTCGAGGTTTAGAGGAAACCAACCAGCATCTCCCGAGTGGCGCAGCGGTCTAAGGTACTGCATCTCAGTGCTAGAGGCGTCACTACAGACCCTGGTTCGATCCCGGGCTGTATCACAACCGACCGTGATCGGGTAGTCCCATAGGGCGGCGCACAATTGGCAGAGCGTGGTCCGGATTAGGGGAGGCCGGGGTAGGCCGTCATTGTAAATAAGAATTTGTTCTTTTTTTAACCAGGTTAAGTCAGTTAAGAACAAATTCTTATTTACAATGACAGCCTACCTCGGACAAACCTGGATGACGCTGGCCCAATTGTGCGCTGCCCTATGGGACTCCAAATCACGGCCAGATTGTGATACAGCCTGGAATTGAACCAGGATCTGTAGTGATGCCTCTAGCACTGAGATGCAGTGCCTTAGACTGCTGCGCCACTCGGGAGCCATTCTTAACGGACTTGCCTAGTTAAATAAAGGTTAAATTAAAAAATTAAAAAATCTCTGCTGTATCACACACTCAAATGGCAACATAGAATCAATGGGTGACACAAGTATTTATTGATTGTTATATTGATCCATCTTCCTATCAACCAAAACCCAGTGCTGGGAACAGTGGTATGTATTGACAACTGGTCCTCCTACATATGTTAAAGGGGACCTCTACAATGGTAAATTAGGTAAATGTTGGTGGATCTTTGATGACCAACATGACCTATAACAGTTGGCCTACACACAGCACGTCTTAATTACACACTGTGACTTCAACAGTAAGCAAGGCTTACACAACATTGCCTTTAAAAGTAGGCCTCCACAGCACATCTTGACTTCCCCTGCTCACACTTGTCTGAGGGTCTGTGGCAGCTGGGAACTATTCAACTCAGGACTGTTTCCGTTTCCTAATGGCTCCCAGCTGTGTGATAATGATCCTCTACAGAGAGGAGAGGGGCTGACAGAACAAACCAGGGTCAGGTACAAGGACATGCTGACCTCTAGTGGATACTGTTCAGACCATCAGCATGGTATGAGTTTAGGGTGCGAGTCACTTGAAGCGGTGAAAATAATACCTGATGATGATATTGACACCAAACCAGATGCAAGAACGCTAGAAATATTACACACCATAGAATAATGTTATAATGGTGACAAGACTGCTCTGGTAAATCAAAAAGCGCTATGTAGCTAGTTCAACTCGCTGTGAAGCACAGTGCAGAAAACAGAGTAAACATATCCACTGTAACAAAAAAACGGTCTTTTAACTTTAAACCCAAACTTCCCAGCTACTCCTCTCCCTCCATGTGAACTGGCTCTGTGGTGCTGATGGAAAACTCACATTAAGAGTGATTACTCCATCTTTAACTGCTCACCCAGTTGGGATCTGTTCACATCTGACACTTCATAAAAACCCAGTGTTTCACAACCACATGTAAACAACATAGAGATGGAGAGAGAGACACAGAGAGAGAGACACAGAGAGAGAGACACAGAGAGAGAGACACAGAGAGAGAGAGACACAGAGAGAGAGACACAGAGAGAGAGACACAGAGAGAGAGACACAGAGAGAGAGAGACAGAGAGAGAGACACAGAGAGAGAGACACAGAGAGAGAGACACAGAGAGAGAGAGACACAGAGAGAGAGACACAGAGAGAGAGACACAGAGAGAGAGACACAGAGAGAGAGAGACAGAGAGAGAGACACAGAGAGAGAGAGACAGAGAGAGAGAGAGATACACACACACAAACGAAGCAGAAGAATCAGCCTAAAAGATAAACGGTACACACTGGGGAAAACAACAACTGGCATTCAGGTGGAATGACTAACACTCACACCTCAGCAACACGTTACAGTCGTTAGGGAAAGAGAGCGGGCCAGAATAAGTGAGACAGAGAGGAAGACGTCAGTGGACCTATAAACATTAATTGACAGGATATGAGGCAGATAATCCAAACCATTCTAACTCTGTCCTCCTGGGTCCTGGATTACTCCTGCTTTTACAGCATATGGTTTCTAAGGTAAGCACAAAGCACTGTTTGATGTTCACTAAAGTGTAGGAAGGTTCAGGGACTATGCTATATAAATGTCTGAACACATAACCGTACACACACAAACTCCTGTTATGTACCTGTAGAGAAGACCAGTACAGTGTTGTCCCAGAGGCCTGTCTCCTGCAGTGCCAGTGTGATGTTGCCCACAGCCTCGTCCATAGCTGACACCATACCAGCGTACAGCCTGCGGTTCGGGTCCTTTATAAAACTGTAGGGGGCGACGTAGCGCTCTGGAACCTGGAGAGGGGCGTGGACCGCTTGAAGAGCCACATAGAGGAAGAGGGGCTGCAAGACAGGACAGGAGGAGAACACACACAGGCCATGAAGAACATTTTTCAAAGCTACACAGAGGAAGAAGGACAGAAAGAGTGTGTGGGCATGTGTGTGTGTGTGTGTGTGTACTGTACCTTTTTGGAGTCCTGTTTAGCGATGATGCTGGTAACCCTGTCAGTAAACAGCTGAGTGGAGTAGGTCCCTGTGTATCCCGTAGCAACCTCCTCCCCCTCTCTCAGGTCCAGGGCACAGCGGGTCACATTCAGGAGAGGGACATGACTGCAGCGCTGGTGACTGAAGTAGTCCTCACTGCCTGTCAGATAGCCTGGGGGAGAGGGGGACAGGAGTGGGACAGACCGGTTTAGTCCAATATCTGGAATACTGGAAGACAATAAATACCCTATATTGAGTACATGGTTCAATCTTGATGTAACTGAACTGCTCTCAGTGCTTTCAAGTGTGTACAGTTGAAGTCATTTCTTTCATCAGATTCCCAGTGGGTCAGAAGTTTACATACACTCAATTAGTATTTGGTAGCACTGCCTTTCAATTGTTTAACTTCGGTCAAATGTTTTGGGTAGCCTTCCACAAGCTTCCCACAATAAATTGGGTGAATTTTGTCCCATTCCTCCTGACAGAGCTGGTGTAACTGAGTCAGGTTTGTAGGCCTCCTTGCTCGCACACGTTTTTTCAGTTCTGCCCACACATTTTCTATAGGATTGAGGTCAGGGCTTTGTGATGGCCACTCCAATGCCTTGACTTTGTTGTCCTTAAGCCATTTTGCCACAACTTTGGAAGTATGCTTGGGGTCATTGTCCATTTGACAGACCCATTTGCAACCAAGCTTTAACTTCCTGACTGATGTCTTGAGATGTTGCTTCAATATATCCACATAATTTTCCTTTTCATGATGCCATCTATTTTGTGAAGTGCACCAGTCCCTCCTGCAGCAATGCACCCCCACAGCATGATGCTGCCACCCCCGTGCTTCACAGTTGGGATGGTGTTCTTCGGCTTGCAAGCACCCCCTTTTTCCTCCAAACATAACGATGCTCATTATGGCCAAACAGTTCTATTTTCGTTTCATCAGACCAGAGGACATTTCTCCAAAAAGTACGATCTTTGTCCCCATGTCCAGTTGCAAACCGTAGTCTGTTTTTTTTATGGCGGTTTTGGAGCAGTGGCTTCTTCCTTGCTGAGCGGCCTTTCAGCAAAGAGGCACTGAGTTTGAAGGTAGGCCTTGAAATACATCCACAGGTACACCTCCAATTGACTCAAATGATGTAAATTAGCCTATCAGAAGCTTCTAAAGCCATGACATCATTTTCTGGAATTTTCCAAGCTGTTTAAAGGCACCGTCAACTTCGTGTATGTAAACTTCTGACCCACTGGAATTGTGATACAGTGAATTATAAGTGAAATAATCGGTCTGAAAACAATTGTTGGAAAAATCACTTGTGTCATGCACAAAGTAGATGTCCTAACCAACTTGCCTATAGTTTGTTAACAAGAAATGTGGTGGTTGAAAAACGAGTTTTAATGACTCCAACCTAAGTGTATGTAAACTTCCGACTTCAACTGTATGGTGTGAATCTGATGTTGCGCATAGACGTGTAGCAAGCCCTAGCCACATCCTGATGTAAGTGAAGTGAAATGGAGAATAACTCACACTACTGTGTGCAAAAGTAAACGTGTGCGCAAGAGTCATTTTCATCACTGATGACCAGGTTGTTTTTCTTATTCACAGTAGCACACCAAAGAGAGGCAACATGGTCTGTGTGTGTGTGTGACGGAGTGTGAGCTGATGACCTACCGAAATAGGAGTCGAACCCTCTGCGTGTTGGCAAGCAGTCTTTGCGGTACATGCCCAGGTGCCACTTGCCCACCATGTGGGTGGCATAGCCTGCCTCTCTCATCAGCTGTGGCAGCAGCTTCTCATCCAGAGGAACACAGTAGGGCTGGCACGGCCAGATGATCTGGTGTTGCATGCCTGTGTGGATCTGTCAATCAATGCCACAGACTTAGACATTGCATCATTGTATCTGTCATATTATGGCATCTGTGAGAGCTTGGGCAGTGCCATTGAGGCCATTTCCATTTTGAAGTAGTCCATTTTGTTTTTCTACTACTTCTATGAGTTGGCAAACAAACTTAAAGGGAGCATACTGCCACCTGTAGTGTATTGTTTGCAGTGGTGCAAAGTACTTCGGTAAAAATACTTTAAAGTACTACTTCAGTAGTTTTTTGGGTTATCTTTACTTTACTTTACTATTTATATTTTTGACAACTTTTACTTCACTATATTCCTAAAGAAAATAAATGTACCTTTTACTCCATACATTTCCCTGAAACCCAAAAGTACTTGTTACATTTTGAATGCTTAGCAGGACAGGAAATGGTCCAATTCACGCACTTATCAAGAGAACATCCCTGGTCATCCCTACTGCCTCTGATCTGGCGGACTCACTAAACACACATGCTTCGTTTGTAAATGATGTCTGAGTGTGCCCCTGGCTATACGTTTGCTTAATATAAGGAATTTTAAATAATTTATACTTTTACTTTTGTACTTAAGTATATTTGAGCAATTGCATTCACTTTTGATACTTAAGTACATTTTAAACCAAATACTTTTACTCAAGTAGTATTTTACTGGTTGACTTTCAATTTTACTTGAGTCATTTTACTCAAGTATGACAATTGGGTACTGTTTCCACCACTGGTTGTTTGAAAAGGTAAAAAGGTTGGCGATATACTGTCCCCTGCAGTTATGGAATGTTTGCACATGAGTAGAATTCACTGGCTGATCCCTCCTGATGACCCGGATAAAATCATGTGATCCTTCCTTAACCCATAGGAAGTCCCACCCAGTTGACTACTTTAAAATGGTGAACGTCCTCAATGGTGATGCCATGCTAAAATGGGATTTTAGGCACTAGAGGCCTCTATCCATCTCTATGATCAAAGCCAGGGAGAAGACACAGATAGTCACGCATGCTGTCCAAGAGGGACAGAATCTGCACGTGCGCGACTACAGGTCGGCTACAGTGTGTACAACCAAGATGAAGAGCAAACAATCTAGATTAGAAGATATTCAGCCACTTTCCCTACACTTATTAAGTGGCAACTGAACCATGTGTGAGAGCAGCAGCTGTTCCGGAAGACAGTGTGATCACTCTCTCCATAGCCGATATGAGTAAGACCTTTAAACATGTTAACATTCACAAGGTTGCAGGCTCAGACGGATTACCTGGATGCATACTACGAGCATGCGCTGACCAGCTGGCAAGTGGCTTCATTGACATTTTTAACCTCTCCCTGACCCAGTCTGTAATACCTACATGTTTCAAGCAGAACACCATAGTCCCTGTGCCCAAGAACACCAAGGTAACCCATCTAAATCCCCAGAGCACTCACAGAGCATGAAATGCTTTGAAAGACTGGCAATGGCTTATATCCTCACCATTATCCCAGACAACCCGGACCCACTCCAATTTACATACCACCCCAACAGATCCACAGAAGACGTAATCTCGATTGCACTCCACACTACGGCTGTGGCGGTCATGAAATTTTGCTGGTCTCACTGTAATTTACCGTTAATTAACATAAACACATTTAGCATCTCCTGGCTTCCACGCATAGCCTACAAGCCACTGATGCAGACCTTTGGAACATCTACATTTAAAAAAGTATTATAAATCCATTTAATATAGCTTACACCATCACAATAAATCCATTATTTATTTTAGACAGGTCTAAAGAAACATGATATGAAGAAGAACATAATAGCATACTCTGAGTTGTCCTTATGTTAGGCCCTGATCTGGCTATGCCATATGGCTGTAGGCTACACTAGTTCATTTAGCAGACAAGATTTGCTTAGAATTCCGTGGCATTATTTTATAATATGAAGAAAACAATTGAACATGGCTGAATAACATTTTCTCCAAAAGATTTGAGGGAGTGCGCACATGCAGCTATTATGTGTTGAACAGTTAACAAAGAAACAGGTCCTCCTATGCTTAATTTAGAACTTTAATTGTGATAAACGTTGGGCTATATGTTTAGATTTTTAATACATTCTAAGGCTGCATGAAGCAACTCTATTGATCATTTGAAAAAGGTCGCATGAAAGGCATTAGACAATGATCCCAAGCATACTTCCAAAGTTGTGGCAAAATAGCTTAAGGACAACAAAGTCAAGGCATTGGAGTGGCCATCATCACAAAGCCCTGACCTCAATCCTATAGAAAATATGTGGGCAGAACTGAAAAGCATGTGCAAGCAAGGAGGCCTACAAACATAACTCGGTTACACCAGCTCTGTCAGGAGGAATGGGCCAAAATTCACCCAACTTATTGTGGGAAGCTTGTGGAAGGCTACCCGAAACGTTTGACCCAAGTTAAACAATTTAAAGGCAATGCTGCCAAATACTAATTGAGCGTATGTAAACTTCTGACCCACTGGGAATGTGATGAAAGAAATAAAAGCTGAAATAAATCACTCTCTACTATTATTCTGACATTTAACATTCTTAAAATAAAGTGGTGATACTAACTGACCTAAGGGAGGGATTTTTACTAGGATTAAATGTCAGGAATTGTGAAAAACTGAGTTTAAATGTATTTGGCTAAGGTGTATGTAAACTTCCGACTTCAACTGTAGCTGTTCTATGAGTGGTCTGAGGCAATCGTTAAATAACAAGCGTTTTCGAGAGCAACTTTAGTATCGCCTTGATCACACCGATAGTGTCACTGTGCAAAATAGTACGCAGCATCATCTGGATATGTATGCAAAAAAAGTTCAGCATTCACCTTCTGCTACCATTTCTGCCACCCATCCACGCATACAGTTTGACGCATATGTTAGATAAATCCAACATATGCACCACACAGAACGCACTGCAACTGCCTCCGCAACATTGACGTCACCAGACCCGGGCTTTAGCCCCGAATGATTCTGTCTCAGTCCCGAGTCTTTTGCCCTGCTGGGATGGTGTAACACAAGCTAGGCTACACTGCAATGAATCCTCCAGACATGAGCACTGGACTGCCCTGCCTTTTTAGTGCTGCCTAGAAACAGCATTTCTGTGTACGGTGGCACTTTAGGAGGCAGAGTCAAGTGGTTTTCCAAAGTCATTTTTGATTTGTCCCCCCAAAAAATATTTTGGCGCACGCGGGCGAGCACAAAAATGAGAAGGAGAACCGGAAGTAAACTTTGTTAGCTTGCTATTACTATATCACATTTTGTTAGCCCATGATGATGTTATTCAGAGTTAATGACCTCACAGTAAGCCAGATTCGAGTAACTTATATTTCAACATATTGACTCAAAAGCTGCAATGACAGTTAATGTTAAGCTAACTAACGTGAGGGACTACCCAGTCTAGCTAGCAGTGCTGCTTCATTAGCAATCTAGCAAATGTTATGACCAGGGTTTTGACAGTACAATTATTGATTAGCTATCTGGACACTGAATCCAACTGCTGGAGCTCTGTTCACCACCTGACAAAAGTATCACTAACTAACCAATTACTGTCTAATCAAGTACTGTCCAAATATGCAAACAATTACTAATAAAGATAGATAGCTAACTTAAGGCTAACATGACATTAGCTACTTTTGGTAACGTCAGCTAATTAGCTAACGTTAGCTATTTGTTGAAAAAACCAAGCTGGATAGCTGAGTTAACATTTCTTCCAAATTATAGAAGATGGACATACAGAATTGAAGATGCAGCTCAGCAAACACAGACGGCTGTTGTATTTGCAGGAGTGAGTGAATAGATTGTGTGTCTTTTACAATACAATTATTTAGCATCTAGCTATAGATGGGTTGGCTGACAATCTCACGAAAACGATGTGCGCGCTTCCATGGGGCATAAGTCAGCCTGCTGTGATTTTCGATGGCCAGATTGCTAGCAAGAATGACACTGCCATGTGGGGAATCATAAATGGCTTATTTCAGCATGTTTCATCGATGAGAATGGGGGCGTGCTCAGTCCTCTTTTTTTTCCTGTAGTCCACAATCATCTCCTTTGTCTTGGTCACGTTGAGGGAGAGGTTGTTGTCCTGGCACCACACGGCCAGGTCTCTGACCTCCTCCCTATAGGCTGTCTCATCGTTGTCGGTGATCAGGCCTACCACTGTTGTGTCGTCGGCAAACTTAATGATGGTGTTGGAGTCGTGCCTGGCCATGCAGTCATGGGTGAACAGAGAGTACAGGAGGGGACTGAGCACGCACCCCTGAGGGGCCCCGTGTTGAGGATCAGTGTGGCAGATGTGTTGTTACCTACCCTTACCACCTGGGGGCGGCCCGTCAGGAAGTCCAGGATCCAGTTGCAGAGGGAGGTGTTTAGTCCCAGGATCCTTAGCTTAGTGATGAGCTTAGAGGGCACTATGGTGTTGAATGCTGAGCTGTAGTCAATGAATAGCATTCTCACGTAGGTGTTTCTCTTGTCCAGGTGGGAAAGGGCAGTGTGGAGTGCAATAGAGATTGCATCATCTGTGGATCTGTTGGGGCGATATGCAAATTGGAGTGGGTCTAGGGTTTCTGGGATAATGCTGTTGATGTGAGCCATGACCAGCCTTTCAAAGCACTTCATGGCTACAGACGTCAGTGCTACGGGTCGGTAGTCATTTAGGCAGGTTATCTTAGAGTCCTTGGGCACGGTGACTATGGTGGTCTGCTTGAAACATGTTGGTATTACAGACTCAGTCAGGGACATGTTGAAAATGTCAGTGAAGACACTTGCCAGTTGGTCAGCACATGCTCGGAGTACACGTCCTGGTAATCCGTCTGGCCCTGCGGCCTTGTGAATGTTGACCTGCTTAAAAGTCTTACTCACATCGGCTACGGAGAGCGTGATCACATAGTCATCCGGAACAACTGGTGCTCTCATGCATGCTTCAGTGTTGCTTGACTCGAAGCGAGCATAGAAGTGGTTTAGCTCGTCTGGTAGGCTTGTGTCACTGGGCAGCTCGCGGCTGTGCTTCCCTTTGTAGTCTGTAATAGTTTTCAAGCCCTGCCACATCCGACGAGCGTCAGAGCCAGTGTAGTACGATTCAATCTTAGTCCTGTATTGACTCTTTGCCTGTTTGATGGTTCGTCGGAGGGCATAGCGGGATTTCTTATAAGCATCCGGGTTAGAGTCCCGTTCCTTGAAAGCGGCAGCTCTACCCTTTAGCTCAGTGCAGATGTTTCCTGTAATCCATGGCTTCTGGTTGGGGTATGTACGTACAGTCACTGTGGGGACGACATCATCGATGCACTTATTGATGAAGCCAGTGACTGATGTGGTGTACTCCTCAATGCTGTCTGAAGAATCCCGGAACATGTTCCAGTCTGTGCTAGCAAAACAGTCCTGTAGCTTAGCATCTGTGTCATCTGACCACTTTTTTATTAACCGAGTCACTGGTGCTTCCTGCTTTAGTTTTTGCTTATAAGCAGGAATCAGGAGGATAGAGTTATGGTCAGATTTGCCAAATGGAGGGCGAGGGAGAGCTTTGTATGCGTCTCTGTGTGTGGAGTAAAGGTGGTCTAGAGTTTTTTTTCCTCTGGTTGCACATTTAACATGCTGGTAGAAATTAGGTAGAACGGATTTAAGTTTCCCTGCATTAAAGTCCCCGGCCACTAGGAGCGCTGCATCTGGATGAGCGTTTTCCTGTTGATTTATGGCCTTGTACAACTCATTCAGTGCAATCTTAATGCCAGCATTGGTTTGTGGTGGTAAATAGACAGCTATGAAAAATATAGATGAAAACTCTCTTGGTAAATAGTGTGGTCTACAGCTTATCATAAGATACTCTACCTCAGGCGAGCAAAACCTCGAGACTTCCTTAGTATTTGATTTTGTGCACCAGCTGTTGTTTACAAATATACACAGACCGCCACCCCTTGTCTTACCGTTCTATCCTGCCGATGTAGCGTATAGCCCGCTAGCTGTATGTTATCCATGCTAGCTGTATGTTATCCACGGGGCTGTAGTGGAACAGGTTGAGAGCTTCAAGTTCCTTGGTGTCCACATCACCAACGAACTATCATGGTCCAAACACACCAAGACAGTCGTGAAGAGGGCACGACAAAGCCTATTCCCCCTCAGGAGACTGAAAAGATTTGGCATGGGTCCTCAGATCCTCAAAAAAATTATACAGCTGCACCATCGAGAGCATCCTGACTGGTTGCATCACCGCCTGGTATGGCAACTGCTTGGCCTCCGACCGCAAGGCACTACAGAGGGTAGTGCGTACGGCCCAGTACATCACTGGGGCCAAGCTTCCTACCATCCAGGACCTCTATACCAGGCGGTGTCAGAGGAAGGCCCTCAAAATTGTCAGACTCCAGCCACCCTAGTCATAGACTGTTCTCTCTGCTACCGCACGGCAAGCGGTACCGTAGTGCCAAGTCTAGGTCCAAAAGACTTCTCAACAGCTTCTACCCCCAAGCCATAAGACTCCTGAACAGCTAATCATGGCTACCCGGACTATTTGCACTGCCCCCCCACCCCATCCTTTTTACGCTGCTGCTACTCTGTTAATTATTTATGCATAGTCACTTTAACTCTACCCACATGTACATATTACTTCAACTACCTCAACTAGCCGGTGCCCCCGCACATTGACTCTGCACCGGTACCCCCCTGTATATATAGCCTCCCTACTGTTATTTTATTTTACTTCTGCTCTTTTTTTCTCAACACTTTTTTTGTTGTTGTTTGGTTAAGGGCTGTAAGTAAGCATTTCACTGTAATGTCTGCACCTGTTGTATTCGGCGCATGTGACCAATAAAATTTGATTTGATTTGACTAGCTCACATTAGTTCGCAGTAATGTGACAAAATGCTTTTAAAAAAAATTGCCAATCAAATATTGGACATGGTTTATGAAAACATTGCAACAAAATTATTAATAGTTTTTCCAACAATTTTTCTTCATGGAAAATTATGATATAGTTATGCACTTGTAACTTGTATTTGCTAATAGATTTTAAAAATATATTATTAACACCATATTCCATGGGTTTACTGACCACAATCCATTGAATTAATATTAAGAATTGTTGATTATTTGGCGTCAGGAGAGCACAGCGCATGGAAGAAAGCAGTGAGATTATGCAACATAGCATTATGTTTCTGCAAATGTTCACTGCTAGCGTGCAGGGCGCTTCATTTCAGTCGCGCAGGGATCAAATCTCCAATAAACGTAGCCTTAAGATGCTTTTATAATATAATAATAATAATAATAATAATGATATGCCATTTAGCAGACGCTTTTATCCAAAGCGACTTACAGTCATGTGTGCATACATTTGAGACACTGGGCCCTGTTGATTACGAAGCATGTGACGAATACAATTGTATTTTATTTGAATAACTCAGTAGCCTTTCCAACATAGTGTAGCCTACAAACAGTGGTGGAAAAAGTACCCAATTGTCATACTTGAGTAAAAGTAAAGATACCTTAATAGAAAATGACTCAAGTTGTGTTTAATGTACATGCTGACCACACCGCACGTGTCGCGTGCGATCTGGGTAGCAATTTAGTGAGTCCACCAGATCAGTGACAGTAGGGATGTTCTCTTGATAAGTGCGTGAATTGGACCATTTTCCTGTCCTGCTTAACCATTCAAAATGTAACGAGAAGGCCTACTTTTGGGTGTCAGGGAAAATGTATGTAGTAAAAAGTACATTATTTTATTTAGGAATGTATTGGAGTAAAAGTTGTCAATCATATAAATGGTCAAGTACAGATACCACCAAACAACTACCTAAGTAGTACTTTAAAATATTTTTACTTAGGTACTTTACACCACTGCCTACACACAGGGATGTCTCACCTGATATCTGCCGGTCATAAATTGGTTCCTAGATGGTGTACATAAAGGTTGAACATAATAATTCTCCAGCCGGACACCTTTAGCCGACAGTTTGTCCAGATTCGGCGTCTTGATCTCTGAACCGTGGTATCCAACATCATTCCAGCCGAAGTCGTCAGCAAGTATGAATACTATGTGCGGCGGCTGTTTACCCTCTAAAAACAAAGGGCATGACAGCAAGATAATTGCAGTGGCAATCACACAAATCAATTTTACAGGAAACATTGTCCCCCTTCCTCAAATCGAAGTGAAGAACTTCGAAAGAAATTATACTCTTCGTGTAAACAAGGAAGTACAGATCTACGGTATCAGTAACGCCTGAACGACAGTCGAAAGCATGATTCAGAAAGGTAATGTACTTAGCTTATTTAATTAAAAAGCAACAAATCACAAAATGTATTGGGGGTTGATGAGGAAATGCACGAGCAATATTATTTCGCTGTCTTCCAGGTTGAATATCGTTGGCTTCCTAGACAGTAACCAATCAGATGACTGCTGATCACATGAGTACATGTCCTTATATGGGCATATGAATCACACACCTCCATGTATTGTCTAAAGCAGGGCTATTCCAATCTGGACCTCAAGGTTTACTAACTATAGCGCTGCAGGTTTTCATCCTTCTTTTCGTCCAATTTAGGGACTGGTCAGTGGATTCTCTGGCCAATCGATGACATGCATGTTATTTCAGGGTTTAGACCAAGTTAATGTTAAGTGCTTTCTGACAAACGTTTTTGTAAAAAGCACTATACTTTGATATATGAATTGATCGGTGAGAAGGGTAGGAGAGAAACCCAGCAGTACCAAAGATGTATTTACATTTGTATAACTAACCCACAGAAGAACATCAGCAGGGATGGAGTGGAGCAGAAGAACTCTTTGAAGAGGTAGGGTTTCACATGTTTTCAGAAGATGGGCAGGGACTCTGCTGTCCTAGCTTCAGGGGGAAGCTGGTTCCACTAGTGATGGGTAAACTAAGCTTCCTGAAGCATTGAGGCTTTCCAGCCAATAGTGTTGAAAATACAGTATTGGTAAACTGGGCCATCAAGTAATATGTTGGTACATTAGCACAACACATGTTACACTGCTTACAGCACAACACCACATCCTATGTATGTAAATGACACTTGTTGTAACACTGACTTATTTGGTAGTAATGTCCCTCCCCCCCTCCCCCCATTTAGCTGTAGTCAACAGAGCATTGATGGTGATTTACAACCATGGAAAGTATTGACGAAGATTAGGTGGTTGAATTCATTAACGGTGCTTATGTTCTCACTATCATTTACTCATATTCTATCAATATTCTATAATCAAAATCAACGTTTATTTGGCATTTACACAGGATATAGTGAGGCGTATGCAGTAGGGCATTGTACTGTGTACTATTGAAGTAACAATTAGTTTAATGTTTTCCCAATGTCAATCTATACTGAGTATACCAAATGCCTTAGAACAGCCTCAATTCTTTGGCGCATGGACTCTACAAGGTGTCGAAAGCGTTCCACAGGGATGCTGGCCCATGTTGACTCCAATGCTTCCCACAGTTGTGTCAAGTTGTCGGGAGGTCCTTTGGGTGGTGGACCATTCTTGATACACACGGGAAACTGTTGAGTGTGAAAAACCCAGCAGGGTTGCAGTTCTGGACACAAACCAGTGCACCTGGCACCTACTACCATACCCCGTTCAAAGGCACTTCAATCTTTTGTCTTGCCCATTCACCCTCTGAATGGGCAAGAGAACAAGTATTTAATACACTGCCGATGTTGCAGGTTTTCCTACTTACAAAGCATGTAGAGGTCTGTAATTTTTTATCATATGTACACTTCAACTGTGAGAGACGGAATCTAAAACAAAAATCCAGAAAATCACATTGTATGATTTTTAAGTAATTAATTTGCATTTTATTGCATGACATAAGTATTTGATACATCAGAAAAGCAGAACTTAATATTTGGTACAGAAACCTTTGTTTGCAATTACAGAGATCATACGTTTCCTGTAGGTCTTGACCAGGTTTGCACACACTGCAGCAGGGATTTTGGCCCACTCCTCCATACAGACCTTCTCCAGATCCTTCAGGTTTTGGGGTTGTCGCTGGGCAATACGGACTTTCAGCTCTCTCCAAAGATGTTCTATTGGGTTCAGGTCTGGAGACTGGCTAGGCCACTCCAGGACCTTGAGATGCTTCTTACGGAGCCACTCCTTAGTTGCCCTGGCTGTGTGTTTCGGGTCGTTGTCATGCTGGAAGACCCAGCCACAACCCATCTTCAATGCTCTTATTGAGGGAAGGAGGTTGTTGGCCAAGATCTCGCGATACATGGCCCCATCCATCCTCCCCTCAATACGGTGCAGTCGTCCTGTCCCCTTTGCAGAAAAGCATCCCCAAAGAATGACGTTTCCACCTCCATGCTTCACAGTTGGGATGGTGTTCTTGGGGTTGTACTCATCCTTCTTCTTCCTCCAAACATGGCGAGTGGAGTTTAGACCAAAAAGCTCTATTTTTGTCTCATCAGACCACATGACCTTCTCCCATTCCTCCTCTGGATCATCCAGATGGTCATTGGCAAACTTCAGACGGGCCTGGACATGTGCTGCCTTGAGCAGAGGGACCTTGCATGCGCTGCAGGATTTTAATCCATGACGGCGTAGTGTGTTACTAATGGTTTTCTTTGAAACTGTGGTCCCAGCTCTCTTCAGGTCATTGACCAGGTCCTGCCGTGTAGTTCTGGGCTGATCCCCCACCTTCCTCATGATCATTGATGCCCCACGAGGTGAGATCTTGCATGGAGCCCCAGATCGAGGGTGATTGACCGTCATCTTGAACTTCTTCCATTTCCTAATAATTGCGCCAACAGTTGTTGCCTTCTCACCAAGCTGCTTGCCTATTGTCCTGTAGCCCATCCCAGCCTTGTGCAGGTCTACAATTTTAGCCCTGATGTCCTTACACAGCTCTCTGGTCTTGGCCATTGTGGAGAGGTTGGAGTCTGTTTGATTGAGTGTGTGGACAGGTGACTTTTATACAGGTAACGAGTTCAAACAGGTGCAGTTAATACAGGTAATGAGTGGAGAACAGGAGGGCTTCTTCAAGAAAAACTAACAGGTCTGTGAGAGCCGGAATTCTTACTGGTTGGTAGGTGATCAAATACTTATGTCATGCAATAAAATGCAAATTAATTACTTAAAAATCATACAATGTGAATTACAGACCTCTACATGCTTTGTAAGTAGGAAAACCTGCAAAATCGGCAGTGTATCAAATACTTGTTCTCCCCACTGTATATACAGTGCCTTCAGAAAGTATTCACACCCCTTGACGTTTTCCACATTTTGTTGTGTTACAAAGTGGGATAAAAATTCATTTAAATGTCATTTTTTGTCAATGATCTACACAATACTCTGATGTCCAAGTGGAAGAAAAATTTGAACATTTGTAAAACATTTAATGAAAAAAAAACACTAATACAGTGCATTCGGAACGTATTCAGACCCCTTCCCTTTTTCCACATTTTGTTACGTTACAGCCTTATTCTAAAATGGATTTAATTAATGTTTTTCCTCATCAATCTACACACAATACCCCATAACGACAAAGAGAAAACATTGTTTAGAGACATTTTTGCAAATTCATTAATAATAAAAAAACAGAAATACCCTTATTTACATAAGTATTCAGACCCTTTGCTATGAGACTCGAAATTGAGCTCAGTTGCATCCTGTTTCCATTGATCATCCTTGAGATGTTTCTACAACTTGATTGGAGTCCACCTGTGGTAAATTCAATTGACTGGACATGATTTGGAAAGACACACACCCGTCTATATAAGGTCCCACAGTCGACAAGAACACAGCGGCCTCCATCATTCTTAAATGGAAGACGTTTGGAACCACCAAGACTCTTCCTAGAGCTGACCGCCCGGCCAAACTGAGCAATTGGTGGAGAAGGGCCTTGGTCAGGGAGGTGACCAAGAACCCGATTGTCACTCTAACAGAGCTCCAGAGTTCCTCTGTGGAGATGGGAGAACCTTCCAGAAGGACAATCATCTCTGCAGCACTCCACCAATCAGGCCTTTATGGTAGAGTGGCCAGATGGAAGCCACTCCTCAGTAAACGGCATGACAGCCCTCTTAGAGTTTGCCAAAAGGCACCTAAAGGACTCTCAGACCATGATTGAACTCTTTGGCCTGAATGCCAAGCGTCACGTCTGAAGGAAACCTGGCACCATCCCTACGGTGAAGCATGGTGGTGGCAGCAGCATGCTGTGGGGATGTTTTTCAGCGGCAGGGACTGGGAGACTGGTCAGGATCGAGGGAAAGATGAACATAGCAAAGTACAGAGAGATCCTTGATGAAAACCTGCTCCAGAGAGCTCAGGACCTCAGACTGGGGTGAAGGTTCACCTTCCAACAGGACAACGACCCTAAGCACACAGCCAAGACAATGCAGGAGTGGCTTCAGGACAAGTCTCTGAATGTCCTTGAGTGGCCCAGCCAGAGCCTGGACTTAAACCCGATCGAACATCTCTGGAGAGACCTGACAGAGCTTGAGAGGATCTGCAGAGAAGAATGGTAGAAACTCCCCAAATACAGGTGTGCCAAGCATTTTTTATTTTATTTTACCTTTATTTAACTAGGCAAGTCAGTTAAGAACAAATTCTTATTTACAATGGCCTACACTGGCCAAACCCGGACGACGCGGTGCCAATTGTGCGCCGCCCTATGGGACTCCCAATCACGGCCGGTTGTGATACAGCCTGGAATCGAACCAGGGGGTCTGTAGTGACGCCTCAAGCACTGAAATCCTGCAGCCCCCGCAAGGTCCCCCTGCTCAAGAAAGCACATATACAGGCCCGTCTGAAGTTTGCCAATGAACATCTGAATGATTCAGAGGAGAACTGGGTGAAAGTGTTGTGGTCAGATGAGACCAAAATCGAGCTCTTTGGCATCAACTCAACTCGCCGTGTTTGGAGGAGGAGGAATGCTGCCTATGACCCCAAGAACACCATCCCCACCGTCAAACATGGAGGTGGAAACATTATGCTTTGGGGGTGTTTTTCTGCTAAGGGGACAGGACAACTTCACCGCATCAAAGGGACGATGGACGGGGCCATGTACCGTCAAATCTTGGGTGAGAACCTCCTTCCCTCAGCCAGGGCGTTGAAAATGGGTCGTGGATGGGTATTCCAGCATGACAGTGACCAAAAACACACGACCAAGGCAACAAAGGAGTGCCTCAAGAAGAAGCACATTAAGGTCCTGGAGTGGCCTAGCCAGTCTCCAGACCTTAATCCCATAGAAAATCTGTGGAGGGAGCTGAAGGTTCGAGTTGCCAAACGTCAGCCTCGAAACCTTAATGACTTGGAGAAGATCTGCAAAGAGGAGTGGGACAAAATCCCTCCTGAGATGTGTGCAAACCTGGTGGCCAACTACAAGAAACGTCTGACCTCTGTGATTGCCAACAAGAGTTTTGCCACCAAGTACTAAGTCATGTTTAGGGGTCAAATACTTATTTCCCTCATTAAAATGCAAATCAATTTACAACATTTTTGACATGCGTTTTTCAGGATTTTTTAGTTGTTATTCTCTCTCTCACTGTTCAAATAAACCTACCATTTAAATGATAGTTCTGATCATGTCTTTGTCAGTGGGCAAATGTACAAAATCAGCAGGGGATCAAATACTTTTTTCCCTCACTGTACTTATTAAGACATTTCAGATTTTCATTTTTAATTAATTAGTAAAAAGCTTGAAAATCATAATTCCACTTTGATATTATGTGTATGCCAGTGACCAAAAATCTCAATCCATTTTAAATTCAGGCTGTAACACAACAAAATGTGTAAAAAGTCAAGGGGTGTGAATACCTTCTGAAGGTAGGGGTAAAGTGACAAGGCAACATGATAGATAATAGACAGTAGCAGCAGTGTATGTGGTGAGTGTGAATATATGTGTGTGGCGTCAGTATGCATGTGTGTGTGTTATATGTGTGTGTGGGCGTATGTACTGTATGGGTTTTATGTGTGTGTTGGGATGTCAGTGTAAGTACAGTATGTGTGAGTGTGTGGGTAGTCCAGTATGTGTGCATAGTCAGTGTAAGAGCTAGTGCAGGAAATAGTAAATGCAGGTCTGGATAGCCATTTGATTAGCGATTTAGCAGTTGTTTATCATTCTTATGGCTTGTTCAGGGTCCTGTTGGTTCCAGGCTGGGTGCACTGGTACCGATAGCCGTGCGGTAGCAGAGAGAACAGTCTGGCTTGGGTGGCTGGAGTCTTTGACAATTGACACCGCCTGATATAGAGGTCCTGGATGGCAGGGAGCTCGGCCCCAGTGATGTACTGGGACGTACTCACCACCCTTTGTAGCGCCTTGCGGTCAGGTGTCTTGCAGTTGCCATACCAAGCGGTGACGCAGCCAGTCAAGATGCTCTCAATGGTGCAGCTGTATAACTTTTTGAGGATCTCAGGGCCCATGCCAAATCTTTTCAACCTCCTTAGGAGGAAGAGGCTCTGACGTGCCCTCTTCACAACTGTGTGGTTATGTGTGGACCATGTTAATTCCTTAGTGATGTGGACACCGAGGAACTTGGCAAGACTCTGACCTCCTCCCTAAAGGCTGCCTCATCGTCGTCAGTGATAAATCCTACCACCATCGTTTCATCAGCAAACTTGGTGATGGTGTTGGAGCCGTGTGCGGCCACGCAGTCATGGGTGAACAGGGGGTACAGGAGGGGACTAAGCACAGACCTCTGAGGGGCCGCCGTGTTGATGGTCAGTGTGGCGGATGTGTTGTTGCCTACCCTCACCGCCTGGGGTCGGCCCGTCAGGAAGTCCAGGATCCATGAGCTTGGAGGGCACTATGGTGTTGAATGCTGTAGTCAATGAACAGAACTCTTACATAGGTATTCCTTTTGTCCAGGTAGGTGAGGGCAGTGTGGAGTGCAATATAGATTGCGTCATCTGTGGATTTGTTGGGGTGGTATGGGAATTGGCATTGGCCCAGGGTGTCTGGGATGATGGTGTTGATATGAGCCATGACCAGCCTTTCAAAGCATTTCATGGCTATAGATGTGAGTGCTATGGTGCGATAGTCATTTAGGCAGATTACCTTGGCGTTCTGGGGCACGTGACTATGGTGGGCTGCTTGGAACAATTTGGTTATTACAGACCGGTTCAGAGATAGGTTGAAAATGTCATTGAAGATACTTTTGCCATCTGGTCAGTGCATGCTCTGACTACGCGTCCTGGAATTCCATCTGGCCCCGCGGCCTTGTGAATTTTAGCCTGCTTAAAGGTCTCACATTGGCTACGGAGAGCGAGATCACACAGTCGTATGGGACAGCTGATGCTCTCATGCATGGTTCAGTGTTGCTTGCCTCTAAGCGGGATTTCTTTATAAGGGTCTGGATTAGTGTCTTGCTCCTGGAAATCGGCAGCTCTAGCCTTTAGCTCAGTGCTGATGTTGCCTGTAATCCATGGCTTCTGGTTGGGGTATGTACGTACGGTCACCGTGGGAACAAGGTTGTCAATGCACTTATTAATGAAGCCGGTGACTGATGTGGTAAACTCCTCAATGTTATCGGATGAATCCCGGAACACATTCCACTGTGCTAGCGAAACAGTCCTGTAGCTTAGCATCCGCTTAGTCTGACCGCTTCCGTATTGAGCGCGTCACTGGTACTTCCTGTTTGAGTTTTTGCTTGTAAGCAGGGATCAGGAGGGTAGAGTTATGGTCTGATTTGCCAAAGGGAGGGTGAGGAAAGGCCTTGTATGCATTTCTGTGTGTGGAGTAAAGGTGATCTAGAGTTTTTCGTCTCTAGTTGCACAGGTGACATGCTGGTAAAAATGAAGTAAAACAGATTTAAGTTTCCTGCATTAAAATCACCAGCCACGAGAAATGCCGCCTCTCAGTGTGCATTTTCTTGTTTGCTTATGGCCCTATACCGCTCGTTGAGTGCAGTCTTAGTGCCAACATCGGTTTGTGGTGGTAAATAGACAGCTACGTAAAATATAGATAAACTCTCTCAGTAAATAGTATGGTCTGCAGCTTATCATGAGGTATTCCAACTCCGGCGAGCAAAAACTCAAGACATCCTTAACATTAGAGATAGCCTAGCGGTTAGAGCTTTGGGCCAGTAACCAAAAGGTTGCTGGTTCGGATACCCGAGCCGACAAGATGAAAATCTGTCTGTGCCCTTGAGGAAGGCACTTAACCCCAACTTGCTCTAGGGGCACCTTACTACTATGGCTGACCCTGTAAAACAGCACATTTCACTGCACCTATCCATTGTTTTTTATGTTTTTTTGTGTGTATTTTTAAAGAAAGAGACACACCCGCCCCCTCTCGCCTTACACAAGTCTGCCATCTGATCTTAACGATGCATAGAAACACCAGCGAGTTGTATATCCATGTCCTCGTTCAGCCATGACTCCGATAAATATAGGATATTACAGTTTTTCAGGTTCCGTTGATAGGATAGTCTCGAACAGAGCTCATCTGACTGCACGTTTTCCAACAACATAGAGGGCAATGGCGGTCTACTTGCACGCCGACGTAGTCTCGTCATGACGCCGCCTCGCTTGCCTCTTTCGCCGCCGCTTCCTCTTTCGAGTCCTGGGGATCAGGGCCTGGTCCGGCGTAAGCAGAATGTCCAGAGCTGCCAATTTGTTGAAGTAGAACTCTTCATCCAAATCGAGGTTAGTGATTGCTGTTCTGATGTCCAGAAGCTGTTTTCGGTCATAGGAAATGATGGCAGAAACATTATGTACAAAAAAGTTAAGATCAACGTAAAAAAAAATGAAATGGTCAGGAGCCTGTAAGACTGCAGCGCCATCATTTTCAAGCTCGTTCCACCAGAGGAATGGCTACCTCTTGGGCACTGTTCTAAGACATGTCCTTACAGGAGATTTGCGTTATGGCACGTTAGGCCACCCCTCATACGTTTAAAGGGTATTTCCAAGCTGGATGTCACTGCACCTTCATTGGTGCATACTTCCTCAGTGAACAGCTAATCATGACTACCCGGACTATTTGCATTGTCCCACCCCACCCCCTCTTTTACGCTGCTGCTACTCTGTTTATTATTACATTTACATTTTAGTCATTTTTAGAAGACGCTCTTATCCAGAGCGACTTACAGGAGCAATTAGGGTTAAGTGCCTTGCTCAAGGGCACATCGACAGATTTTTCACCTAGTCGGCTCGGGGATTAGAACCAGCGACCTTTCGGTTACTGGCACAACGCTCTTAACCACTAAGCTACCTGCCGCCCAAGAGCAAGCATAGTCACTTTAACTCTACCCACATGTTCATATTACTTCGACTAACCGGTGCCCCTGCACATTGACACTGTACCGGTACCCCCTGTATATAACCTCCCTACTGTTATTTTATTTTACTGCTGCTCTTTAATTATTTGTTATTTTTATTTATCTATTTTTTACTTAACACTTTTTTATTTAATTTTTGATTAAAACTGCATTGTTGGTTAAGGGCTTGTAAGTAAGCATTTCACTGTAAGGTCTACACCGGTTGTATTCGGCGCATGTGGCAAATAACATTTGATTTGATATTTGGCCAGTTCTTCTTGTGATAGGATAGCTGCAATAACACTTCTGCTAAGACTCTGGAATTAAAAAAGCTATTTAATTCCTTAATATAAAAACACATTATAATACTGCAATACTGAGATAATAAAATGCCCCCTATCAGTAATTATTGCCTCTGTTGCTCAGCAGTTATGAGTTGGATGGTTTCAAGACTCCAACCAAACATATTCTGAAATGAATACTAATGCATGTATAGTGGTTTTGTTCCAATATGGCCATGCTAGTATGGACATTGGAACCTAGAGGAGCTCTTATGCCCATTCTAGGTTACTTTAGCTGTTCTTGCTTCTTCTTAACCAGGTGACCAACTAGGAAAGAGGAAGTTATTTTTATTTTTACATCACAGTCAAAGTCTCCATCTCAAATAATTCCATATTCCCTGTATAGTGTGCACTACTTTGGACCACACAGGGAATAAGGTGTCATTTGAGTATTGTTCATCACATGTCAGTCTTTTTCATCATAACAGTCACTATAATCATAACAGTAACACTGTCAGCCAGCATAGTTCACTTCACAGTGTGGTTGGTTGGTGTCAGTTCTTCTGTTTGGAGATTCTAAACAGACCTGGGTCGCAATTAGCACCAGAAGGTAGTTAAATAAAGCACACCTTTCTGTAAATAATTGAAAGAAAACAGATCCTATTTGGATCCAGGTCTGGTACTCTGGTTCTAAGCTGGTTCTCTGTCCATCCCCGGTGTGTAGGGCTTGCTCTTGGCCTTCTTCTGCAGCCGGGTCCTGGTGGGTTCAGTGAGGACCAGTGGCTCCTGGACTACTATGGCAGGGTATTTTCTCCCCAACATCTCCACCTCCACCTTCTGCCCCACAGAACACAGCTCCACTGGCAGGTAGGCAAATGCCAGGCTCTGCTGGGTGGTGTAGCTGTAGGTCCCTGATGTAGTGTTGCCAACCACCTAGGAGAGAGAAGAGGGTAAAAGGCTATATGCTTTTCTATAGGATGGTTGCATGTAGGAAAATGCTGGGTGGTGTAGAGTTTAGAAAAATGATTAGTGTCATTCCACAATAATACAATTATTGACAATACATATTACACATAAACAAATCACACATTGTGGAACATTTATAATACATTGGCGTGATCTATCATCTATAATACATTACATCATCCACATTGTTGGTAATATTGTTGGAGTAAGTGTAAGCCTCTGATGTTGTGTTGCCTCTTTACCACCACACGCACGCACAAACGCACACGCGCACACACACAGCTCACCTTGCCGTTGAGCCAGATGGTCTCGTTGCCCTCTGGGTCGACAGCGTCCGTATCCATGGTGATGTATGACAGCTTCCTCTTCAGACCTTTAGCTTTGATCTCCTGCAGTGCTGCCTTACCAATGAAGTCTGCAGGCTGGAGACAGACAGGGAGAGAGATGTTAGTGTGTGTGTGTGTGTGTGTGTGTGTGTACTGTATTTAAACATTACATTTATTAAAGAATACAGGTGTGTAGGAGACTTAGTATACTGGCTACATGGCCACAATTTCATAACATCTAAACATAAGCCACAGGTTTGCATTTGAATAGAAATGTTTGAATATTAAAACCTCTACTTGAACACACATATATACACCTGTTCTGAAAGGCCCCAGAGTCTGCAACACCACTAAGCAAGAGGCACAACCAGACTTCAACTGTACATACAGTGGCTGACTTGTGAAAGAGCAGTAGCTAGTAACAATGTCTACCTTGTTGAGTTTGATGAAGTAGTCCAGACCAGCTTCCAGAGGGTTGGTGTCACAGTTCATCTGATAAATAAACAAAACATCAATCCACACAGCATGAGAGTACATGTGTGTGTGTGTGTGTGTGTACCTCTGCGCCCCAGCCTCTGAAGCCCTTCTCCAGTCGTAGTGATGACATGGCGTAGGTACCAAAGTTGTCGATGCCCTCATCCTGTCCTGCTTCCATGATAGCCTGGTACACCGCTGCCATGTCCTTCTGAGGAATGTACAGCTCCCAGCCCAACTCACCTGAAACACACACAGTCAGTTACACTGTACATGCGCCGACATGCTACACATGTACTCTTAAACATTTGTAAACGTACACACACACACACACACACACACACACACACACACACACACCTGTGTAGGAGATCCTGATAGCTCTGAGGTCGATGCCAGCCAGTTGAAGGGGTTTGCAGTGGAGGAACTTGAAGCCTGCATCGCTCATGTCCTCCTGAGTGAGTTTCTGTAGAACGTCTCTAGCCTTTGGTCCAGCCACACCCAACACCCCAATGTCCTCTGTCACGTTAGAGATGTCTACATCATACGCCCCCTCCTCTACCTCTTTCTCTATCCACCTGGGGTTAGGGAGGGATCCATAGGGTTATATGGTTATACTTACAACAAGGAATAGAAACATCTGCACAATGTTGATTCAAGTCTTCATTAAGGACTTGATTAGTTGAATCAGGTGTATTACTGCAGGGCTGGAGCAAAATCCTGCACCCACATGGCCCTTGGTGGATTAGATTGGCCACCCCTGCCTGCCCTGCCATAAAGCTGCAGTGCAGAGTGCAGATTTCCTGACTGTCATATGTTCTGATACCACTAGGGGGTGTGTGAGAGCGCTGAATGAATAGAGTGAAAGGAATTGGAGATTCATTTGTTTTTCATGTGATATTGGAAGACAGAGAGGGGCCATTCAGTAACAGCTGCTGTGAGGAGTTCGACTACGTAGTTATACTACCAGTGTGTGGGCTAGAATAATGTTATATAATGGAATATTTAATAATGTTATATGGGACAGCTTGACTCTACTACTGGCCTGGGCTGCTTAGTGTATGAGAGGTTTCCAAATCTGTCTGTCTGTCAGTGTTTGTCAGAGTCTGTGTGTGTGTTACCTGAGGTCATGGAGCTCTGATCCGGATCCTGTGATGAGGAGGAACTCTCCAGGTGCGAGCTGGGTAATGGTGACCTCAGCGTAGACTCTTGCAGTGGGGGTCAACATATGGCTGATGTTAGTCAGGCCCACCTGACAGGGGAGAGAGAGGAACATAAATATATGTCCTAAGCCCAACAACCTCAAACAGGCCAGCATGTTCAAACTCAACACTGCCGCCTGTTGGCAATAGCGAGTTACATAGGGACTGGGAGTTATACAGTGGTGCAGTTAGTTGTCTATGAGAGTGAATGAGTTTAGCCTGGTGTGATGCAGTGGCACATTCAGTTTCTCTCACCTTGGGCATAGTGTTGGTGAGATACAGTAAGATGTGATATAGAAGCACAGTGAGTACTAATACAGTGAGTTGTAAATAGTGTTATCCTTACCTTGGGCATAGTGTTATCCTTACCTTGGGCATAGTGTTATCCTTACGTTGGGCATAGTGTTATCCTTACCTTGGGCATAGTGTTATCCTTACCTTGGGCATAGTGTTATCCTTACGTTGGGCATAGTGTTATCCTTACGTTGGGCATAGTGTTATCCTTACCTTGGGCATAGTGTTATCCTTACCTTGGGCATAGTGTTATCCTTACCTTGGGCATAGTGTTATCCTTACCTTGGGCATAGTGTTATCCTTACCTTGGGCATAGTGTTATCCTTACCTTGGGCATAGTGTTATCCTTACCTTGGGCATAGTGTTAGCAAACAGTCTGTCCAGTAGTTTCTGGGAGTCCTTCCCTTTAACCATGAACTTGCCGAAGGGCGTCAGGTCAACGACCCCAACCTTCTCCATCACAAGGTTACACTCCCTCCCCACTGGACCGAACCAGTTGGTACGCCTGAAACTCGGCCTGGGGAGAACAGACAGACACTTGGGGGTTAGTTACTTGGTTTATTTAAAATGTAATGACTGAAAGTATTAACTGAGACAGTGGTTAGTTACTTCCATATATTAAAAAATTATATTTTAATAAGTAAGTTGACTGAAAGTGAGAACACATTCACAGTAATGACTTGAGAGGAGGTGCAGGGGAGAGGAGATATGTCAACGCTGTGTTATAATAAAACAGTCATACAAAGAAATGGCTCTAGGAAGGAACCTATTCACTGCAAGTACGTACATAATGTTCAATCACTGGGCCCTTATACAGTGGGTTTCATAGTTTTACATATGGGCATAATTTCATAAAGAAATCCCACAGATGGTGCTAAATTCTCAGAGCCAATAAAAAGCTTAATCACCACTCGTAGATAACCAACTGGAAGCTAACCGTGAGTTGGGTTGGCCAACTGGATCCTAACCCTGAGGTTGAACAGGCCAATTGGACCCTAACCCTGAGTTTGAACAGGCCAATTGTATCCTAACCCTGAGTTCGATCTCTCAAACACCTCCAGCTTTTAAAACAAGAGTGGTTTCAGACCAACACATGATGATGACGTGGGACTGATATTATCAGTCTATAAAGGGTATTGAACAGTAAGTACCAAGCAATTATTTCCACAGGCATCCCAAAAAGAAAGAACACCAAGTCCTCGAACAGTCTAACACACACTCCGGAACCCACAGCTGCACCGGGACCAAACCACACTGCTGTCCACACACACACACACACAGACACAGACAGACAGACACACAGACACGGCCATACCACATTTCTACCACATTGCTACAGTGTGTGTGTGTGTGTGTGTGTGTGTGTGTGTGTAGTGTAGTGTCTTCACACTCAAAAACAGGATGCAGAGAGTTCCAGGCACAAAGGAGATAGTGATGTGCCAGACAGACAGCTTTTGAATGGAACATGTCCTAAAGCCACACTATGCTTTCTTTACGTGTACACGCCATAAAACACATGAACCTTTTGGCAAACTTCCTTCATTACTGTCCACTGGCATGATGATACAGCAGCAGTAGTAGCAGTGTGAATGAAACTCCAGGGTGTGTCAGATAACAACACATAGTTGGACAGCAGATTGTGAGAACTGGTGGTTTCATTCCACTCCAAGAGGGTGTGTCAGATATACCACATAGTGGTTTTGGCAGATTGTGGGAACTGGTTATGGTTTATGATTTTGGGGTGGAGTGAAAGCAGTCTGCACACTGCACAAATAAATTGGGAAAGGATGCTTAATGCTCAGTGGTAGTGTCATACTTGTATTGATTGACTGGGTATCTTACTTGTATCCTGCATCGTCTCCAGGCTTATAGAACCAGTGTGGTTGTTCCCAGCCAGCATGGAAGCCCATGGAAGCCTTCCCCTTTAGTAGCTCATACACACCACTGGTCCTGTGGGTCGGACGGCCCGCAAAACGCTCCTCTTTAGGGTAGCCCACTGAGAGTGGGAGGGAGAGGGACATTAAAACATATTAATTTTCAATATTCTTTAGGAAACATGCCTTTACTTCAGCCAGTGGAGATATTCCATTAATTGAAAACCCACTAACCCGTTGTCCAAACTCATTCCCTACTATAGGCCAGCCAGAGTAGAGAGCACTCACCCACGTTGTTGAATCCATAGGACTCTCTGGCCTTGGCACACATATAGGGTACCGTGGTCCATTTGCCGTAGCGGTTGGGGTCACACTCAATGAGGTCATAGGGGGGTTCCCCTGTCACGATCCAATCACTGAGGAACTTCCCGATGCCACCGGCGTGGATTACTCCATACCTGGGACATCACACACACAGTCAGACCATGCGGTAATGCCTTTGACCTTCAACCTCCCACTCCTAGTCAGCCAAACATAACAAGGCTTACCTAGTTTTTACAGCAGGGAAGATAGTAAGACCTTCAGAATGAAGAACCTTCACACTACACCATCCAGTCATATCGATTTACTTCAGCATCCACCCCTGACTCCAACCCACTGCTCAGAGCTCCCCCCAAACACACACACACACACAATCCCACTCCTATGTTTACCCGAAGCCGATGGCGGTCCAGTAGTTGCGTGCGCCCTGGTGCGGTCCGACCATGGGTAGGAGGTCAGGGGTGTAGGTGATTGGTCCAGACACAATGTTGATGATGTCAGCATTCTTCAGCACAGGCACCATCTCCATGGCCATCTCTACGTGGTCCATGATACGGTCCAGGTCTGACTCAAACAGCTCCTTACCAAAACCTGTACAACACACACACACACACACACACACACACACACAGAGGAGTACAACTGAGGTTAGGCATAGAGAGAGAGGGAGAGGGAGAGTGAGATTGACCGATAGACAGACAGACAGATAGACAGACCTGGTGGTACTCCATCTGTAACCCAGGAGTCCTGCAGCACCATCTTCTCCTCTCTCTCGTAGGGTCCAAACAGCAGTCCGTCTCTCTCCTGCCTGAGGTAGTAGGAGCCCTCCAGGTCCCTGATTACTGGCAGCTCTGTCTTCAGGGCCTTCACCTAGACACAACAAAACATATCAAAATGTATTAAACATCAAATCAAACTTTATTAAACATCACAACACATGTTAATTTAATTTGAGTGTGTCTATTTTAAAGTAATACCTCAGGCACTGTTGCTGTGACAACATACTGGTGATGGACAGGGATAGTGGGGTGCTCGAGGCCAATCAGCTGGCCAACTTCCCGGGCCCAGAATCCTGTTGACCAATCAAAGAACAGTAATTAATTAATGGTCTGAAAAGGTGCACCCTCAGCGGGGTCGAATGAAACTAGAAACATCCAGGTTTTTTTCAGGGGAAAAGGAAGAGAGCCTGTAACGCGACTTCCGCTTTAGGACGTGCGCCTCACTGTTTACAATCCACACCCCATTGAAACATATATCTGATGCCTAAAAATAGTGCCCGTCTTTCTTCGAGATAAAGTTTTTGCCACAAAGTCAACAGACACCACATACCAATTTTGTTGGTGCCATTATCGCTAGATAACGCTAGCTAATATCTGGCTAGCAGCTAGCTACTGCACGTGTTTGCTTTCTCTCTGAAGTTGTTTCCATCTGGAATATAAACAAGGCGACATTCCATCTTAACGCCTTTCTTTCTCATCATGACCAGAATGTGGGGTATCCTGCTCAGGTGTTTCTTTTACACCTTTTAGGTTATCATAGATGTTTTGAGGAGACCCGGAAGCAGACACAGGAGTAGGGAGAAAGACGCCAGTCGGGTGTAAACAGCCATCCCTGAACCGTCCCAGTCTCCACAACAAGGAAAGCAAAACAAGGATAAGAACAGAGCCTCACACCTACTCTCTCTGCCCTCTACCAACCCAGCCTTCACTTCCTGAGATCAAAATAGTGTAAGCAGCTGGGTCCACAGATGTGCATGGATAATGGGACAAAATGAGACCGATACAGAGAATAAAAAGCCTGGCTAGCGATGCGCTTCAACTGAGCCATGTGTGCGAGAGGGGGTGACTAGAGACTGAAGGTTGAACACCAACGGGCTGCGGCATTCTGGATGAGTTTGTAGGGTTTAATGGCACAGGCAGGAGGCCAGCCAACACGAGTTGCAGTAGTCCAGACGGGAGATGACAAGTGCCTGGATTAGGACCTGTGCCGCTTCCTGTGTAAGGCAGGGTCGTACTCTCCGAATGTTGTAGAGCATGAACCTGCAGGAGCGGGTCACCACCTTGATGTTGGCGGAGAACGACAGGGTGTTGTCCAGGGTCACGCCTAGGCTCTTCGCACTCTGGGAGGAGGACACAGCGGAGTTGTCAACCGTGATGGCGAGATCATGGAACGGGCAGTCCTTCCCCGGGAGGAAGAGCAGCTCCGTCTTGCCAGGGTTCAGCTTGAGGTGGTGATCCGTCATCCATACTGATATGTCTGCCAGACATGCAGAGATGCGATTCGCCACCTGGTTATCAGAAGGGGGAAAGGAGAAGATTAGTTGTGTATCGTCAGCGTAGCAATGATAGGAGAGGCCATGTGAGGATATGACAGAGCCAAGTGACTTGGTGTATAGGGAGAAAAGGAGAGGGCCTAGAACTGAGCCCTGGGGGACACCAGTGGTGAGAGCACGTGGTGCGGAGACAGCTTCTCGCCACGCCACTTGGTAGGAGCGACCGGTCAGGTAGGACGCAATCCAGGAGTGAGCCGCGCCGGAGATGCCCAGCTCGGAGAGGGTGGAGAGGAGGATCTGATGGTTCACAGTATCAAAGGCAGCAGACAGGTCATAGGGGGGTTCCCCTGTCACGATCCAATCACTGAGGAACTTCCCGATGCCACCGGCGTGGATTACTCCATACCTGGGACATCACACACAGTCAGACCATGCGGTAATGCCTTTGACCTTCAACCTCGCACTCCTAGTCAGCCAAACATAACAAGGCTTACCTAGTTTTTACAGCAGGGAAGATAGTAAGACCTTCAGAATGAAGAACCTTCACACTACACCATCCAGTCATATCGATTTACTTCAGCATCCACCCCTGACCCCAACCCACTGCTCAGAGCTCCCCACAAACATACACACACACACACAATCCCACTCCTATGTTTACCCGAAGCCGATGGCGGTCCAGTAGTTGCGTGCGCCCTGGTGCGGTCCGACCATGGGTAGGAGGTCAGGGGTGTAGGTGATTGGTCCAGACACAATGTTGATGATGTCAGCATTCTTCAGCACAGGCACCATCTCCATGGCCATCTCTACGTGGTCCATGATACGGTCCAGGTCTGACTCAAACAGTTCCTTACCAAAACCTGTACAACACACACACACACACACACACACACACACACACACACACAGAGGAGTACAACTGAGGTTAGGCATAGAGAGAGAGGGAGAGAGAGAGAGTCTGTGTGAGAGAGAGCAGGAAAGAGAGAGTGAGATTGACCGATAGACAGACAGACAGATAGACAGACCTGGTGGTACTCCATCTGTAACCCAGGAGTCCTGCAGCACCATCTTCTCCTCTCTCTCGTAGGGTCCAAACAGCAGTCCGTCTCTCTCCTGCCTGAGGTAGTAGGAGCCCTCCAGGTCCCTGATTACTGGCAGCTCTGTCTTCAGGGCCTTCACCTAGACACAACAAAACATATCAAAATGTATTAAACATCAAATCAAACTTTATTAAACATCACAACACATGTTAATTTAATTTGAGTGTGTCTATTTTAAAGTAATACCTCAGGCACTGTTGCTGTGACAACATACTGGTGATGGACAGGGATAGTGGGGTGCTCGAGGCCAATCAGCTGGCCAACTTCCCGGGCCCAGAATCCTGTTGACCAATCAAAGAACAGTAATTAATTCATGGTCTGAAAAGGTGCACCCTCAGCGGGGTCGAATGAAACTAGAAACATCCAGGTTTTTTTCAGGGGAAAAGGAAGAGAGCCTGTAACGCGACTTCCGCTTTAGGACGTGTGCCTCACTGTTTACAATCCCCACCCCATTGAAACATATATCTGATGCCTAAAAATAGTGCCCGTCTTTCTTCGAGATAAAGTTTTTGCCACAAAGTCAACAGACACCACATACCAATTTTGTTGGTGCCATTATCGCTAGATAACGCTAGCTAATATCTGGCTAGCAGCTAGCTACTGTACGCGTTTGCTTTCTCTCTGAAGTTGTTTCCATCTTAACGCCTTTCTTTCTCATCATGACCAGAATGTGGGGTATCCTGCTCAGGTGTTTCTTTTACACCTTTTAGGATATCATAGATGTTTTGAGGAGAACCGGAAGCAGACACAGGAGTAGGGAGAAAGACGCCAGTCGGGTGTAAACAGCCATCCCTGAACCGTCCCAGTCTCCACAACAAGGAAAGCAAAACAAGGATAACAACAGAGCCTCACACACCTACTCTCTCTGCCCTCTACCAACCCAGCCTTCACTTCCTGAGATCAAAATAGTGTAAAGCCAGCTGGGTCCCACAGATTGTGCAATGATAATGACATAAATGGAGCAGAAAATGGCCGTAAAATTGTAGAATAGTAGAATCTCAGATACAGAGAATAAAAGCCGGTAGATAGGTAGAGTAAGAACATGACTGTTGCTACAGTACAGTACTATGGTGTAGTCTATGGCACTTAGACATGGTTGAGACTGAAATGACACCATATTCCCTAGATAGTGCACTACGTTTGGCAAAAACGATGGGGCTCTGACTAAGGCATGGTGTTAAGGCCCGCCACATTAACTCTAACAGAATTAGCTATCTGTCTGTGGCTCCAACACTATGGCTCCTCATCTTAAGACATAGAAAGGAGACCCCTGTTCTATCAGCTGAGTCTAGTCACACTCTCCATAGAAGGTCATTCTTGTTTTAAACTTCTTCAAAGGCATCATTTTCAAAGGACTTTCAGTGTCTATGAATTATGCCTGTTTCTTAAACCTTCATTTACCAAGTGGTCAGCTGAGCTGGCTGTTGGTGATAATGTGATCTGATATGATCTTATCTGGTGTTTGGTATGTCAGATGTAAGGCCTTCTTCTTTTGGAGTTTAATGGCAGTGTGCAAACCAGCTTTTTAAGTGTGTTAACACCTTTCTTGGGAGCATTTAACCATCTCCCTGCTAATTAGCTTCCCCACTAAAACACTGGCACAAACATGACTGTTCCTACCCCGTAACATTCTAAAAGAGAAAGAAACTGACCAATCAGAGCCACTACATTCACAGGGATATGGATACACCCCTAAAACGGAACCTTCACTCACTACAGTACCTGTGTAAGTCACAGAACTATTGCTTGACCATGACAAGCGCAAACCCAGTCAACTCATAGCACTACATAAAATGTATATACATTTATTCATACAGTGTCTTCCAAAAGTTTGCATCCCCCTTGGCATTTTTCCTATTTTGTTGCATTACAACCTGTAATTTCATTGGATTTTTATTTGGATTTCATGTAATGGACATACACAAAATAGTCCAAATCGGTGAAGTGAAATGAAAAAAATTCCTTGTTTAAAAACTCTATAAAATAAATAACGGATAAGTGGTGCGTGCATATGTATTCACCCCCTTTGCTATGAAGCCCCCAAATAAGATCTGGTGCAACCAATTACCTTCAGAAGTCACATAATTAGTTAAATAAAGTACACCCGAGTGCAATCTAAGTTCCTAGTCAAAGCCCAGACCTCAATCCAAATGAGAATCTGTGGTATGACTTAAAATTGCTGTAACCAGCGGAACCCATCCAACTTGAAGGAGCTCGAGCAGTTTTGCCTTGAAGAATGGGCAAAAATCCCAGTGGCTAGATGTGCCAAGCTTATAGAGACACCCCAAGAGACTTGCAGCTGTAATTGCTGCAAAAGGTGGCTCTACAAAGTATTGACTTTGGGAGGGTGAATAGTTATGCACGCTCAAGTTCTGTTTTTTTTTCTTATTTCTTGTTTGTTTCACAAGAAAAAATATTTTGCATCTTCAAAGTGGTAGGCATGTTGTGTAAATCAAATGATACTAACAACCAAAAATTATATTTTAATTCCAGGTTGTAAGGCAACAAAATAGGAGAAATGCCAAGGGGGGTGAATACTTTCGCAAGCCACTGTATACTGTAACACAAATATTTAAAAAGAGATACCCATAACATTTTACAAATAAAATAAAATATTCAGTAAAATAATATATGGCATAGCGTCTGTGTACAGTACACTGACTACTAACCAGTATAAGAAGCCTGTTGCTACAGGCTTCTTGCCAGATCAATATTATGATTTCTGGGGCGAAAGTCAACTGCCCTCCCTCTACACACAGACAAACACACACACCATGCCCCCTGCTGACACTACAGCTGTTTGTCCCTACAGAGCACAGACTGGTAACGGCCTGCAGGAACCAGTTGTTGTGACAGCTGAAAAATGTCACATAACCCCACTTGTTGATTTCTGCCGCTTTCTGCTGAGTTGCAACTGTTCCACGCCAGACCCTGTGTCAAATACATAAATACTTGACATAAATACTTGACATAAATACTTGAGCTACAAGTAGGGCAAAGAGTAACGATATAGTATGCAAGTCTGATATAATCGCTCGTTTTAGATACTGCTTTACAGTATATCTCTCAAATTGAGCAGAGTTTTGCTGAATTATAAGAACTTCAGCTTTGTTAAAAAATTTAGCTCAGAGGGACTTACATACTCTCTCTACCTTTAAAAGGTTGCCTTTCCCTACTTCTGTAGGCTATAGCCAGTTAGGGCCAGAGCAGAGCAGAGCTGCTGGGGGACTCAGAGTAGATAGCACACGTTTACCAGCTCACTGTAGCAGGACACACAAAAGGTCATTCACAGACCCTCCTAGGAATAACCTCAGATGAATTGACTCTGTGATCAATTTCCAATGGGGCTTTACATCTGATATAGGCTTACTCATATCCACAGTACACCCTCCACACCTTTAACTAACTCACTATCCTCCCTCGCTTATTTATGAGCACCAGTGATAGCGTGATAAGCTAAATCATTTCTAAAGGCCAGATACTCAGATAAAGACTATTTCTCTCTCTGTGAGACAGTAGTGTCCATTTTCTGTTCACAGTATATATGGCTTCCACTTAGGACTGAAAGGTAAACGGAATTAACTGGTTTCACCCGTGGTTTGAGGAGGTCCTGTGTGAAGACCTTTCACTGGGCGTCTCAGTGGCCCGATCTCCTTTTGGTTCCATTAGTAGGTCACAGGGCCAACATGGTGAAACCGATCCTTCAGGGGGAGACACATTCCAAGAACCACAACCCCTGACCTTACTCTGGAGATTCTCATTGGTCAAGGTGCCAAACGGTGGTTCCAGGAAGAGTGAGTGTAATGTTTTGAAGGTGGGGGAGGAGAAGATAAAAAGACAGGAAACCGGATTTGCCTCCAGCCCTGGAACAGCTGCTCCTGGGGACATTGGTTTGTTGAATCCACTGTGTTAGAGCAGGGTTGGCGCAAAAGCAACAGCATGCACACCCAGTAGCTCTCCATGAGCAGGCTTGGCCCCTAGTGTCCAAGAAGAAAGAGCGATGAGGAAAGGGGAGAGGAGACGTCTGGGAAGACGCAAAAGAGGAAATGTTTGGGAAGACGACGCCTGGCAAGTGGGGTTGGGAGAGAAGATGGGAGTAAATGAGAGGGAAGTAAAGAAGAAAAAAAGAAGGGAAAAAGGGGTCAAACAAGGGGGCAAGGAATGGGGCGAGTGTGAGAGTAAAGGGAGGGAGCGTTGGAGAGAATGGAGTCTGTGAGGAATGCTGCAGCAGCACTCCAGGATCTGCTTTCACATGGAGTTATTTCTACAGACCACAGCTCTAGCAAGCAGAAATCACATACCCGTCCCTACCCTGCATGTCAAGGGGTGAACCCCCAATTCCCAACACACTTTACACAACTCATCCACCCACTACAGGAGAGATTAGAGAGAGATTTGTATTGTAATGAAAGATATGAACACCCCAATGTTATGTATAGAGAGGGAGGCATCGCTGGAAGTGAGCAGGTTTCGGAAAACAACATAAAACCTGGCAGTGAGTGCTATTACCCTCTCATCATAATTAACATACCAGGGTTATTCCCACATATCCAAACAATGCTCTCAAAATGTCAAAAACTCAACCGCAAACCAGTGGGCCCATTTCACAGTAGGAGAATGAGGTTAACAGATTTAACTCCTAGTGGAGGGATTTTAAGGGGTGTAGTAGCTACTGTTTATGAGCACAACCAATGCTGTTCTGATAGAAAGAAGCCCACAAAACCAAAACTGAACACCCAGATAGACTCTCAGACGGCAGGGTGTGTGTGTGTGTGTGTGTGTGTGTGTGTGTGTGTCGGCGTCTGCTAGTGCAAACAAACACAGCAATTTACTCAATCACCACACAAACCACCCACTCCTGGACCTGTACATGCTCTGTACAATTTTACTGGACCGTATGGAGACAGTAGTCATTACTGCATTGGTCAAACACTACAAATCTACAGTGTCTGGTGGGGTTTCAAATACCAGCAGCTTCAGAAGCTTTGATGAAATCCTTTAGCTCCACTATGGGATGTTTCCATTGTACCCCTAACAAAGTGGGCTTCATTTGGCCCCAGCAGCTATACTGTAGCTAGCTATATGTTTCTCTCTCCATGTTGATTGTACACAAAGTACAATGTATAGGACATAGACTGTAATGCTCTCACCCGCTGTGACTTATGCAATAACACACACCAGCTCCGGACTGAGTTAAATTTGTATCTTAAAAATGAGTGAAGGCCAGAGATTAGATTTAGATTTTAGTCATTTAGCAGACGCTCTTATCCAAAGCGACTTACAGTTAGCGAGTGCATACATTTTCATACTGGCCCCCCGTGGGAAACGCACCCACAACCCTGGCGTTGCAAGCGCCATGCTCTACCAACTGAGCTACAGGGGACGACATGTATCTAAACCTGAACCTCCTTAGAATCACATAGGATGACATCCTTAAATACACTGAATATTGAAAAATAAGATGGAAAGGTATTTTCAGATGCACGTCTTAACATTGAGCAGGTATTGTCCATAAAGTTCTTGACTCTTACTTTCCTGATTCCATTTGAAAGGTACATGAAAGGGGACACAGACTGCTTAAGTAAAATAATCAGTCAACGTTTAGTTTAAATGTAATGTTTACATAGGTTATGCCTGAACGGTAACAAGCTGAAAACGTGGGTATCCATCTGTACAACCAGAATGTTTATAGGTTATCTGGGTTAAGTGTTTTGTGGTTGGCTGTGGTAGATATCTCCATAGGAAAAAAGATAGCAGTGTCAGTCCATTATTCTTCTACCTCCCTCCATGGTTTAGGCTGGACCTTGCCGACTGGAGACAGATTCCATGTGATGCCGGTTTGTGTCAGTACAAATCCCCAGACAGACACACAGAACGCAACTCCTCCGATCATCAGGCCAGTGCCATACTTGGCATGGAATTCGAGGGCGTGCGTCGAACTGAGCCTCACTTGGCGGGCACCTTGTCCTGCGGAGACGTTCAGAGCTGCTTTAACAAACCGAAACATGTTGGCTCGACTGTAGATTTGTGGATACCCTTGAAGAACAAAATGGAAGAACGTTCGTGACAAAATACCGGAAGCAGAGTGAGAAAGAGAAAGGGGAAGATAGAGAGAGATATTGAGGTGAATTCTTGGACTATGCTGGATAAACAGCAGTGGAAGGAAAAGCGGAGCCATATTTGCCAACTAAATCCTCCCAGAACTGGTATGACCCGGTTCAAACCACGTGACCCCATTTCCCCTGAACTCCGACTTCTGTCTGTCTGGTCAAAGGTACCTAATATGGCCGCCAGGCAGCCTCTGAATTCAGACATAAGAAAGAGAGACTAAATGAGGCCGAAGAGGCTCAGTACTGGGCCAAACCAAACAAGAACTACAACTGAACTCAGCCTCAAAGGATTTGGCTAATCAATTGCTTTGTCTTCAGAACTGGGGGGTACAAAGATCTTAACTGTGCTCCTTTAGTCTGTTCTACTCGTACTACTGTCATCTTACTCGTCTATAGGCTTTGTGGGCAGTGACCAAAAACAGCTGAACTGAAAATAAGTTAATGACAAGAGACTGGTTTGATTGACTTGAGAGACATTGGGCTCTGCAGTCTACCCAATCCAAACCGGTAAACAGGTCTGTGGGATACGTCTCCAACAACCTGGGAGAGGCTACAGGGGATAGGTGTCAACTTGTTCAGATATCAGCTTACTCCGACTCATCCAAAGAACTTGTTTGGAAAAATGTATCATCAACTGAAGTTTGATAGCCGGCTGCGACCGGGAGACCCATGGGGCGGCGCACAATTGGCCCAGCGTCGTCCAGGGTAGGGGAGGGAATGGCCGGCAGGGATGTAGCTCAGTTGGTAGAGCATGGCGTTTGCAACGCCAGGGTTGTGGGTTCGATTCCCACGGGGGGACAGTATGAAAAATTTAAAATTTAAATAATGTATGCACTCATTAACTGTAAGTCGCTCTGGATAAGAGCATCTGCTAAATGACTCAAATGTAAATGTAAAATGTCTCCAACAACCTGGGAGAGGCTACAGGGGATAGGTGTAAACTTGTTCGGATATCAGCTTACTCACGTTTACAGACACTCCGACTCATCCAAATAACTTGTTTGGAAAAATGTATCATCAACTGAAGTTTGTTTGTTCAAGCCTTTTGGCTGGTGAAAGTTTCTCAATCACGTTTTCCAGTGAGAATTCAATGTGACCCCAGACCTGTGTATAACAGGACTGTGTTTTTGAATGACCAAACTACTTGAGTACGATCCAAACATCATGACAACCTCTTCTATAGCCCTAAAAGACCGCTATAACACACTGATATATCTACAAGATACTACAGTGCCTAATGCAATGTATTGATATTTAATTGATCTATACATCAATAATCAATGCATGTTCTGTAGCTGAGTGGTATGGTCTTTACAATGTTTGTTTGAACATACTGACTTGTGCGAGGAGCAATCAATCATGGTTTGCAGCACAAACACTCTGCACAATAACCCAGACCCTGGTTGCTCAACTTCCAACTACACCAACGCTCCTCTGGCTCTCTTTCAAAACTAATTCTAGCAGGAAGCTCAGCCTTCCAGTCTGCCAAAGGCTCTTGTTTCTATTCTCCATGTTTGCAGCAAGCTTGTCTTTGTGCATGTATTTGTGTGTACTAGTGATGGCTGGTATCACTTTTAATCAGAGGACGGACTGGAATGGAATGAATGGATCCCATTCCAGCCATTACAATGAGCCTGTCCACCGATTTCGCCCTCCACCAGCATCCATTGGTGTTTTACATAGAGACAGATATTTAGCCACTGACAGATATTGGACCTGTGGCATTGACTATGCTGTTAGCTCTGATGGTCCCGTGTGGGGTCTGGACGTCCCACTTCCCGTCGCTGGTGGGTGTGAGACCAGAGACCGGGGCTGGGTTGTAGATCTGGGCTCCGTACATACGGGCCCCAGCAGCCAGGGCCATGGTCAGGGAGTAGGGGTCAATATGGCCGTCTCCTGGGTTATACAGACCCATTAGCACCTGGGGGAGGTGGATATAAAGTGTTACTGTTACTCTCATGTCTATGTTCTGCACTGGTTCAAACCTTGTCTATAATCACATTTCCATCCACAGTTTATATGCGAGTAAAGTCATACCGCAGAAAAAAAATCACAACAGCTGTAATGGAAACAGGAAGTTTCAGTACAATTGTATAAATGCCGACAGATCATTTGTTTATTCGACATGGTGGGATCTTTTTGTGTCTGTAAAATTCATTTTGCGAGAAATGGCGGTGGAAACGCCTTTATGCGCAAATATTGATATAATAACCATCATATCGAAGTAAACTTGGAGTCACATAATGATAGGTGTGTGGTCCTCTCACTACAACTAGGGAAATCATGCAGTGTATTCGGCTACAGATTCAATAAGTTAGGATGAACTTCACAGAGTGGTGAAAGTGCATTGTGATATTGATGCTCCTTTCCAATAAATATCAAGGGTGTTATTCTGGTGACATGATGATCGATGCTTGACTGGCGTTTGACAAACACAAATATTCTCGCTCTTATCCATAATCATCTCATTATGTAGGCTAGCCTACTCGCACATACCCGCACTGTATCTGCGAGCTGTTGAGCGAATGTGCTAAGACCAGAGTAGGCACATTTGTGTCAAAATTATCGGTAGAACTTTCGATTTTTATTCGGTACATGAAAACGAATGCAAGAAAGTGCATTTTGTGTGCAGTATGTCATCAAACTGATTTTTATCCGCAACAAGTCAGTTTGGTGGAAACACAGAACGGTTGGGAAAATGCGCATATTTTCTTTATGCAGATTGTAGAGTATTCTGGATGGAAACCTAGCTACAGATACCAGTGGAGGCTGGTGGGAGGAGCTATAGGAGGACGGGCTCATTGTAATGGTTTCCATATGTTTGTGTTTGATACCATTCCATTCCATGCATTACAGTGAGCCCGTCCTTCTATAGCTCCTCCCACCAGCCTCCTCTGACAGACACCCTTATAGGCTTTAAAGATTATACACTATGGAAGTTTAGTTGCCCTTTTGGCAGAGCACCTCCAGAGGCCAATGTTCTTTATAGCCTCTTTAAGTCATTGCAGTATTTCCATTAGGCTCCTAAATCATGCCATAACACTGAAATCATGATGATCTTGATCATATTGGCCTGGTCCAAGATATGTTTGTGCTGTCTTGTCACGCCACTGACATTTAGGAGTTGGCCAGACAAAACAAACCTATCTGGGACCCAGGCTACATGTCTATGAAGGATGTGACTGTATTTCCCTCAGGTCCAGACCTTGTCCATGTTGAGCAGGGGGAAGAGCTCCTTGATCTTCTCAGGTGTGATGAGCCATTGGGGCGTGGGGTGCCAGTGGCTCCTGGCCATCTGGTACTTCAGCTCATCCACTCTGACTGGGGTGGAGGCAATACGGATGCTGCCTGGCTGGTGGAAACCCACCGCCTACAGACACACAGAGAAAAAGGAGGTTTGAAACATACATACATACATACATACAGTGGGGAAAAAAGTATTTAGTCAGCCACCAATTGTGCAAGTTCTCCCACTTAAAAAGATGAGAGAGGCCTGTAATTTTCATCATAGGTACACGTCAACTATGACAGACAAATTGAGAAAGAAATATCCAGAAAATCACATTGTAGAATTTTTAATGAATTTATTTGCAAATTATGGTGGAAAATAAGTATTTGGTCACCTATAAACAAGCACGATTTCTGGCTCTCACAGACCTGTAACTTCTTCTTTAAGAGGCTCCTCTGTCCTCCACTCGTTACCTGCATTAATGTCACCTGTTTGAACTTGTTATCAGTATAAAAGACACCTGTCCAAAACCTCAAACAGTCACACTCCAAACTCCACTATGGCCAAGACCAAAGAGCTGTCAAAGGACACCAGAAACAAAATTGTAGACCTGCACCAGGCTGGGAAGACTGAATCTGCAATATGTAAGCAGCTTGGTTTGAAGAAATCAACTGTGGGAGCAATTATTAGGAAATGGAAGACATACAAGACCACTGATAATCTCCCTCGATCTGGGGCTCCACGCAAGATCTCACCCCGTGGGGTCAAAATGATCACAAGAACGGTGAGCAAAAATCCCAGAACCACACGGGGGGACCTAGTGAATGACCTGCAGAGAGCTGGGACCAAAGTAACAAAGCCTACCATTAGTAACACACTACGCCGCCAGGGACTCAAATCCTGCAGTGCCAGACGTGTCCCCCTGCTTAAGCCAGTACATGTCCAGGCCCGTCTGAAGTTTGCTAGAGTGCATTTGGATGATCCAGAAGAGGATTGGGAGAATGTCATATGGTCAGATGAAACCAAAATATAACTTTTTGGTAAAAACTCAACTCGTCGTGTTTGGAGGACAAAGAATGCTGAGTTGCATCCAAAGAACACCATACCTACTGTGAAGCATGGGGGTGGAAACATCATGCTTTGGGGCTATTTTTCTGCAAAGGGACCAGGACGACTGATCCGTGTAAAGGAAAGAATGAATGGGGCCATGTATCGTGAGATTTTCAGTGAAAACCTCCTATCAGCAAGGGCATTGAAGATTAAACGTGGCTGGGTCTTTCAGCATGACAATGATCCCAAACACACCGCCCGGGCAACGAAGGAGTGGCTTCATAAGAAGCATTTCAAGGTCCTGGAGTGGCCTAGCCAGTCTCCAGATCTCAACCCCATAGAAAATCTTTGTAGGGAGTTGAAAGTTCGTGTTGCCCAGCGACAGCCCCAAAACATCACTGCTCTAGAGGAGATCTGCATGGAGGAATGGGCCAAAATACCAGCAACAGTGTGTGAAAACCTTGTGAAGACTTACAGAAAACGTTTGACCTGTGTCATTGCCAACAAAGGGTATATAACAAAGTATTGAGAAACTTTTGTAATTGACCAAATACTTATTTTCCACCATAATTTGCAAATAAATTCATTTAAAAATCCTACAATGTGATTTTCTGGTTTTTTTTTCTCATTTTGTCTGTCATAGTTGACGTGTACCTATGATGAAAATTACAGGCCTCTCTCATCTTTTTAAGTGGGAGAACTTGCACAATTGGTGGCTGACTAAATACTTTTTCCCCCCACTGTACATACAGATACAGACTCGCACAGATACAGACACAGACACACATTGTATCATCCATTGTGCCGTTCTGTGGTTAATGTGTAGTGTACCTGACCCGTCTCGGCCTCCAGACTCTCATACAGCTTGATGCTGTGGTAGTGGACCTTCTTCAGGTTGATACCAGGGTGGTAGTATGTGGTCAGACCAGCCTAGAACAGACAATAAACAGGGATACTTAGAGGAGGAGGCATGGAAATGTACATGGGATCACTGACAACTCTTACTCGACTGTATGGACCCTGCAAGTTTGCAAAGCAATGTTTTGAAAATATTCACACCCCTGGACTTTTTCCACATTTTGTTGTGCTACAGCCTGAATTTAAAATAGATTATATTGGGATTTGTCACTGGCCTAGACACAATACCCCATAATGTCAAATTGGAATTATGTTTTTCCAAATTTTCACAAATGTATTGAAAAGGTGAAATGTCTTGAGTCAATAAGTATTCAACCCCTTTGTTATGGCAAGCCTAAATAAGTTCAGGAGTAAAAATTTGCTTAACAAGTCATAAGAAGTTGCATGGACTCACTCCGTGTACAAAAATAGTGTTTAATATGATTTTTGAAGGACTACCTCATCTCTGTACCCTACACATACAATTATCTGTAAGATCCCTCAGTCGAGCAGTGAATTTCAAACACAGATTCAACCACAAAGACCAGGGAGGTTTTCCAATGCCTCGCAAAGAAGGGCACCTATTGATAGATGGGTAAAAATAAAAAGGCTGACATTAAATATCCCTTTGAGCATGGTGAAGTTATTAATTACACTTTGGATGGTGCATCAATACACCCAGTAACTACAAAGACACAGGCGTCCTTCCTAACTCAGTTGCCAGAGAGGAAGGAAACCGCTCAGGGATTTAAATGATGCCAATTGTGACTTTAAAACAGTTATAGAGTTGAAGGGCTGTGATTGGAGAAAACTGAGGATGGATCAACAACATTTGAGTTACTCCACAATACTAATCTAATTGACAGAGTGAAAAGAAGGAAGCCTGTACAGAATAAAAATATTCCAAAACATGCATCCTGTTTGCAACAAGGCACTAAAGTAATACTGCAAAACATGTGGCAACACAATTCACTTTTTATCCTGAATATATATGTGTTATGTTTGGCACAAATCCAATACAACATATTACTGAGTACCAATCGCCATATTTTCAAGAATAGTGATGGCTGCATCATGTTATGGTCATGCTTGTAATCGTTAAGGTCAGGGAGTTTTTCAGGATAAAAAAAAAAAGCGTCATGGAGCTAAGCACAGGCAAAATCCTAGAGGAAAACCTGGCTCAGTCTGCTTTCCACCAGACACTGGGAGACGAGTTCACATTTCAGCAGGATAATAACCTAAAACACAAGGCCAAATCTACACTGGAGTTGCTTAGCAAGAAGACAGTGAATGTTCCTGAGTGGCAGTTTTGACTTCAATCTACTTGAAAATCTATGGTAAGAACTGAAAATGGTTGTCTAGCAATGATCAACAACCAACTAGACAGAGCTTGAATAATTTTGAAAAAAAATTAATGGGCAAATGTTGCACAATCTGGGTATGCAAAGCTCTTAGAGATGTACCCAGAAAGACTTACAGCTGTAATCGCTGCCAAAGGTGCCTCTACAAAGTATTGACTCAGGGGTGTGAATAGTTATGTAAATTAGATATTTCTGTATTTCATTATCAACTAATTTGGTTTAAAAAATGTAAACATGTTTTCACTTTGTCATTATGGGGTATTGTGTGTAGATGGTTGAGAAAAAAAATATATGTAATACATTTTGAATTCCGGCTGTAACACAACAAAATGTGGAATAAGTCAAGGGGTATAATATAATATAATATAATATATAATAATATGCCATTTAGCAGACGCTTTTATCCAAAGCGACTTAGTCATGTGTGCATACATTTTTACGTATGGGTGGTCCCGGGGATCGAACTCACTACCATGGCGTTACGAGCGCCATGCTCTACCAATTGAGCTACAGAGGGTATGAATACTTTCTGAAGTTAGATAAGACTACTAAGAAAGTTGCCCCCCTGACATTTGGGCAGCATATTTACTATGGCATGTAGAGTAACCTATACAGCATGGATCACCAACTAGACTCAGCCGCCGACTGATTTGTTTCTTGAGTCAGGGGGCCGGAACATAATTACAAATAATTTGTAGACTGCAAATTGACCTCAAGAAGCCCAAACAGATATAATATTTGACTAAAATATAATTATTTCAAACCTTGCTTACATTTGTATATGATCACATACTATCACACTCTTTCTATTATGGGTGGGAATACTGTGGAACAGATTTCCAAAATTACAATCACTTGGAGCTGATTTGCTGGTGTTTTTACAGTCTTTTATGTCCATTTAAAAATGTGTAAATAATAATAATGCTCAGAACTTGGGGGGACAAATAAAAGCACCCACGGGCCAAATTCACCAGTTGGGGAACCCTGCTATACAGGGTAGGTTTGGTTGGAAGGGGTTGGTAGAGGGTTATAAAGAGGCAGAATTAGGTCATCAGATCCTCGGCAGAACCACATAGGCCTGGTTCTTTGACACCAGCTGTCTTTGACAGCTACCATAACTTAGATCATCTTACATACCTCCATCTACTTCTTGGAAATCTCAACCGCTCCCTCTGCCGAGTGGACTATCTGATATGTCTCTGTAGTATCTTAGGTTTTTCCTGGTAGCTGTAAGTTGCTCTGGATAAGAGCGTCTGCTAAACGGCTAAAATGAAAATGTAAATATCCTGTGTGGTCTCACTGCGGTATCTCCATGTTGAATATCTCTGGCCTCCTTTACCTTTCCCTCAAATAGTGTGTGTAATAACACTCATTAACTTATTCTAATGAGGAGAAACGTGAAAACTCCCATGCCATGCTAACTACTGTAGTAGCAGAAGAACGTCTCAGGTCGAAACGGGGTTGCAGTGGAATGGCTCCATATGTGTTTACCAAATGTTATGCAAAAGGTAAATATGTTGTTGGGGTTTTGCTGTGGCTGTTTAACACCAGACTCGATCCATAAAACCACCTGAAGCCATTTGTTGTTCCCAGGTCAGTTCTGTCATATGATAAGATTAGGTTTGGAGACAGGTAAGCTGATCCTAGATCTGTTGTTGTTGTTGACCTACAGCGTGCCAGGTGGATCCAGCGGTAAGTTCAGACTTTTCCAGCAGAACCACGTCCTTCTGTCCAGCCTTGGCCAGGTGATAGGCTATACTGACTCCCACACAGCCCCCTCCGATGATCACCGTCTCAGCCGTGTCCTTCCACCTCTTCCCCAGGACCATATGGCTGTCCCTGAGAGGTGGGAGATTTGAATCCATTTGAATCAATTTCAATACAGCTAAAAATGTGTGGAGTCGTTATGTGACTTCTAAGAAGCCGAAAAGGTTATTGTGAAGAGAATTAACCCTGTTCTGCACAGTTCTGACCTGACATACCCCCGGAGGGAAATGCAACACTCCATTGGGCACAAACTGGTTGAATCAACGTTATTTCAACAACATTTTTCTACGTATTGTGACGTGGACCCAAAGTGGAAAAGTGAAATTTCAACCAAAGGATTATGTCACCATGGTAGCCAAATTTCAACATAGACAAACCTTGTATAACATGTGTTGAATTTGTACATTTAAAACAACGTCAGATCTTCAACGTTATATCCACTATCAGAAAATATATATAAGCTTGGCAGCACCTCCTACTTGAGAATATATCTATCTACAGCTACCCTTTGGTCTCCCATCCATTGTTTTAATCAAGCCCAGCCCTGCTTAGCTTTGATATTTGTCACTGGCTATTACCAATGTGCTATCATGAGAATGATTGTAGAGGGACCTCCACTTAAAAACTGTTGCTAACGAAGTCATTCCAAAGGGTAGGTTTAACAGAGTAAATGAAATGTGACCATGGTAGGCCTACTTTATCACTATCATCAATGATGCTATTTGGGCCTATATAGCATTTGCGAAATCATAAACAGCTATTGTTTAAATTCAAACAGGATTCAACAAAAATATACATATAGACATAGGGTTTCAAGCTGGTTGATTTCAAGTGTAATTATATTAACTGATATTGAATTGTGTTTGGTTGTCAATGCAACAAATATCAACATTTGAAGGAGTTGTATCTTCTGCTTGGATAGTTCCAGCTGTGCCACTGATTTAGTCTGGCTTTAATTCCCGTTTGTCTACAAATTAATTTAAATGTACACTACCAGTCAAAAGTTTTAGAACACCTACTCATTCAAGGGTTTTTCTTTATTTTTTTTATAATTCTTTACATTGTAGAATAATAGTGAAGACATCAAAACTATGAAATAACACATATGGAATCATGTAGTAACCCAAAAAGTGTTAAATTAAAATATATTTGAGATTCTTCAAATAGCCACCCTTTGCCTTGATGACATCTTTGCACACACTTGGCATTCTCTCAACCAGCTTCATGAGGTAGTCACCTGGAATGCATTTAAATTAACAGGTGTGCCTTGTTAAAAGTGAATTTGTGGAATTTCTTTCCTTCTTAATATGTTTTAGCCAATCAGTTGTGTTGTGACAAGGTGGGGGGGGGTATACAGAAGATAGCCTTATTTGGTAAAAGACAGAGCCCATATTATGGCAAGAATAGCTCAAATAAGCAAAGAGAAACGACAGTCCATCATTACTTTAAGACATGAAGGTCAGTCAATACGGAACATTTCAAGAACTTTTAAAGTTTCTTCAAGTGCAGTCGCAAAAAACATCAAGCGCTATGATGAAACTGGCTCTCATGAGGATTGCCACAGGAATGGAAGAACCAGAGTTACCTCTGCTGCAGAGGATAAGTTCATTAGAGTTACCAGCCTTAGAAATTGCAGCCCAAATAAATCAGGCCATCATGGTCGAATGGCAGCAAAGAAACCACTACTAAAGGACACCAATAAGAAGAAGAGACCTGCTTGGGCCAAGTAACATGAGCAATGGACATTAGACCGGTGGAAATTTGTCCTTTGGTCTGCAGTCCAAATTGGAGATTTTTGGTTCAAACCGCCATGTCTTTGTGAGATGCGGTGTGGGTGAACGGATGATCTCCGCATGTGTAGTTCCCACCGTAAAGCATGGAGGAGAAGGTGTTATGGTGTAGGGGTGCTTTGCTGGTGACACAGTCTGTGATTTATTTAGAATTCAAGGCACACTTAACCAGCATGGCTACCACAGCATTCTGCAGCGATGAACCATCCCATCTGGTTTGGGCTTAGTGGGACTATCATTTATTTTTCAACAGGACAATGACCCAACACACCTCCAGGCTGTGTAAGGGCTATTTGAACAAGAAGGAGAGTGAAAGAGTGCTCCATCAGATGACCTGGCCTCCACAATCCCCCGACCTCAACCCAATTGAGATGGTTTGGGAGTCAGACAGCAGAGTGAAGGAAAAGCAGCCAACAAATGCTCAGCATATGTGGGAACTCCTTCAAGACTGTTGGAAAAGTGCATTTAAAAGTATGATTTGCTTTGATTTAGTCCTATTCTTTAACATCGATTTTTGGTTGAGATGGAGACGTGAATCCAACATAGTGCTTATTAATTAGTAGACAAACTAGAAATGAAAGCCGCACTAAGTCAATGGCACAGATGGAACTATCCAAGCAGAAGGTTAATCTCCTTCAAATGTTGATATTTGGTCCCGTTGACAACTAAACACAATTCTATTTAACTTTTTGAAATACAATAACCTATTAACTTGACGACAAGTTCAAATCAAATTAAGCTTTATTTATACTGCACCTTTCAGACATGGAATGCAACACAATGTGTTTCACAGGAAAGTTGAAATATTTACTACACAACAAACATAAGAGGATCAAAAACAAAAGAATGACAATAAAAACGGAATGACTAAATAGCACCCTAAGGAAAAGCAAAGCTAAAAAGTTGTGTTTTAAGATCTCTTTTAAATATGTCCACAGTTTCGGCCCCCCTCAGGTTCTCTGGCAGGCTGGGGTTCATAGTAACTAAAGGCTGCCTCACCATGCCTCTTGGTCCTAGGCTTTGGGATAGTTAAAAGGCCAATGCCAGAGGACCTGAGGGACCTAATGGGTACATAACTTAAAGCATGTCTGACATGTATGGGGTGAACATTCGTGGGTTGATTTAAAAACCAATAGAAGTATCTTTAAAATAATTCTAAAACTCACAGGCAGCCAGTGCAGAGACCTTAAAACCAGTGTAATGTGTGCTCTCCGTCTGGGCTTGGTCAGTACCCGTGCTGCAGCATTCAGTATGTTTTGCAGTTGACCAATGGCTTTCTTGGGTAGACCAGACAGGAGAGCATTACAGTAGTCAAGCATGATTGTTATAAAAGCATGGGTGAGTCTCTCTGTATCTGCCATGGTGCGGACGTTTCTCTCTCAGGCTATGTTCCTCAGGTGGTAAAAAGCTATTTTGGTCACATTCCTAATGTGTGATTCGAAATTGAGTTCATCATCTAAAGTAACACCTAGGTTTTTTACCTGGTGTTTTATCTTCATTGTCCGTAAATTAATATGTGCAGCCAGATTCTCTCTCTGTGCTTTCGTACCTCGGTCTTGTCTTGATTTAGCTGGAGGAAGTTGTGAGCCATCCAAGTATTTAAATCACTAAGACCGTCTAATAATTTATCCGTGGAGCTAAAATCCTCTGGTGACACAGAAATGTCAAGTTGTGTATCGTCTGCATAGCAGTGAAAATCCATGCTGTGCTTTCTGATAATGCTGCCAAGGGGTAACATATATAAACTAAACAGTACCAGACCCAAAATCGACCTTGTTGAACGCCACGTGATATGCATTTACACCAAGGGTGACAAAAAAAACTCTAGACTGGTTAAATAGGTCCTAAACCAATTTAGAACTGGACCGCAGAGGCCAACCCACCTCTCCAGTCGGTTTAGAAGGACATCATGATCAACAGTGTCGAATGCACAAAGAGTACATTTTTACATTTTAGTCATTTAGCAGACACTCTTATCCAGAGCGACTTACAGTTAGTGAGTGCATACATTTTCTTACTGGCCCCCCGTGGGAAACGTACCCACAACCCTGGCGTTGCAAGCGCCATAGTCTACCAACTGAGCTACAGGGGGGCCAGTGCAAGGACAGAGAGCAGTTTGACATCTGTGTTGGCTCTAAGATAATTTACCACTTTAACTAAGGCTGTGTCTGTGCTGTGGTGGGCCCGAAAACCAGATAGGAATTTCTCAAAAAACCTTTTGGCACTTAAAAAATAATATAGCTATTTGAAAACCAGTTTCTCCAGAATTTTGCTTAAGAGTGGAAAGTTGGAGATTGTCTGAAAATTGCTAAGAGCTGAAGAATCTAGATTACTTTTCTTCAGAAAGGGTTTCACCATAGCAGTTTTTAAGTGCAGTGGGGAAAGTGCCTGTGAACAGGGAGTGATTAACAATAGCTTGCACTTCTTCAGATATGCAATTAAAAACTCAAGAAGGTGGTGGGGATAGGATCGAGAAGGCAGGTAGAAGGCTTAGTGATATCACTTTCCTGAGCATCTGTGTCAACCAGGGAAAACAAATCCATAGTGCCTTTGCGTGATAGGCTAGGGCACATATCAAAGTTCTCATCAGGTCTTGCTTGACTGATACCCAGCCTAATGTTTGTTATCTTATCTCTGAAATATGCTGCAAACTCATCAAATCAAATTTTATTGGCCACATGCGCCAAATACAACAGGTGTAGACATTACCGTGAAATGCTTACTTACAGCCCTTAACCAACAATGCATTTATTTTTTGATAAAAAAGTACAATAAAACAACAACAACAAAAAAGTGTTGAGAAAAAAAGAGCAGAAGTAAAATAAAATAACAGTAGGGAGGCTATATATACAGGGGGGGTACCGGTGTAGAGTCAATATGCGGGGGCACGGGCTAGTTGAGGTAATATGTACATGTGGGTAGAGTTAAAGTGACTATGCATAAATAATTAACAGAGTAGCAGCAGCGTAAAAATATGGGGTGGGGGTGGGGGTGGGGGGGCAGTGCAAATAGTCCGGGTAGCCATGATTAGCTGTTCAGGAGTCTTATGGCTTGGGGGTAGAAGCAGTTGAGAAGTCTTTTGGACCTAGACTTGGCACTCCGGTACCGCTTGCCGTGCGGTAGCAGAGAGAACAGTCTATGACTAGGGTTGCTGGAGTCTTCGACAATTTTGAGGGCCTTCCTCTGACACCGCCTGGTATAGAGGTCCTGGATGGCAGGAAGCTTGGCCCCAGTGATGTACTGGGCCATACGCACTACCCTCTGTAGTGCCTTGCGGTCGGAG